ATAATAAGCTGAAACTTCTTGAATTAACCCATATCTGCAATTTACAATAAGTATATATTAGCTTAAGTCCAATAAAATTAACTAAAACCATATTTTACTGCTACGAAAATAATATTATTCAATCTCATAAACAAACGCAACTAACTAACAACAACATAAATTCATAACTAACATAATATATTTGCCACGAATAGTAATTCATTACATACATATAACTACTAAAACATCATTATATAAACAATACAAAATTAAATCATACCGAAAATTGCTTGAGAGTATTTTTCCAACTGCTCATGGGAGGGGTATTTATTTGACAATCAGGGAGCATTCACCATCGTTGTCGACAGCGGTAAAGGCAATCACCGCGTTGCCCTAAGGCAGTGAACTTTAGGTGGTTGTGACCTACTTTTCACCTACAAGGTCTGGGAAACGTGGAAAACTATCATCGTCGTAACCTAGCGCGGTGAACACTTTCCCCGCTTTACTCAAAGGCGGTGAAACATATACTGTTGTAAACAAACATGGTGAAGTTTTCACCGTTTTAGTTAAATGTGGTGATGGCTTCACCGTTTTTTAGTAAAGCGGTGAAGTATTCACTGCCTTTGTTCTCGGCGGTGATTGTATTCACTGTCTTAGACAAAGGCGGTGAATGTCAAACATGTGTACTTTGGAAAAAATATATAACTAACTTTGAGAATGTCTTTTAATTACTAGTGTATTTTTGGATTTCTTTCCCGTTTGGATGTGGTATTAGTCAAATATGTTATTTGGGGTCAATTATCGTATAAGTATCACATGTCATAATAGTTGCGAAAAAATCCCACTGTACACATGTTCTTAAAAAAATTCCCAAAATACATAAGTTATAAAAAAATTTCCAAAACTACACATGTTTGGCATTCACCGTTTTTGACAAACGCAGTGAAGATTATCACAAACACGGTAAATATTTCACCTTTTTAAATTAAAACGGTGAAGTATTCACCGTTTTTCTCTAAAATGGTGAACCAATCACCGCTTTAAATTAAAACGGTGAATATATCACCGTTTTAGGGCAAAACGGTGAATATCTTCACCGTTCTAGGTTAAAACGGTGAGTATTAGGCACGTTTTCAACCCCTGTTAGGTGAAAATTAGGTAACAGCTACCTAATGTTCACCGTTTGAGACAAACGCGGTGATGGTGTTCACCGTGTTTGACAAAAACGGTGAATAGTAGGCAGATTTTCCTATAAATACCAGGCCACCAGCAATTATAAAAACATAACCACTCCCCCCTCTTCAAATTTCAGCAGCCAAAACCGAGCATAATACACAGAACAGGAATTTTTGGTATGATTTAATTTTCGTATTATAGCTTAATGATGGGTTTTTAGTAGTTATAGTATGATTTAATTTTCGTATTATAGCCTAATGATGTTTTTAGTAGTTATATTGTTATGTTATGAATTACTTATCGTAGCAATTGTAGTACTTAATTTTTGAATTTATGTTGTTGTTAGTTAGTTGAATTTATGTTACGTTAGTTATGAGATGGAGTAATAATAGTCGTGCAATATGGTTTTGGTTAATTTTACTGTCTTTAAGCTAATAGTTTAACTTATTGTGAATTGTAGATATGGGTAAATTCAAGAAGTTTTGGCTTATTATTCGGTAGAATGGAATGGTGACAAACTCTGACATAGGGATTGATTATGAGAACGGTGAATCCACTATGCTAAAAATTGAGTCGCGATTCAATTTTCAAGAACTCCGTGATATTTGTGCAGACAGGGTTTGTACGAGCGGACAGGCTAGACTTGGCAAAACTAGTTACCGGTATCCAGACATGAGTGCTGTCGGGGTTGTGTAACAAGAAGTTGTCATAAACGATGATGACGCGGTTACGATGATGTTACAGTTCCTAAGCGATAATGGGATGTGGCTTGCCGAGGTGTATGTTGAGACCGAGGCGGTCGGTGAAACTCATTCTCACCATTATTCTTATGATGATGGTTTTGCAGGAGGGTACAGATGGGGTGGTAGTTCGAGCAACTACGAAGGAGGTGGTTATACAGGAGGTTATGGAGAGGGTGGTAGTTCAATCAACTACGGTGGAGGTAGTAGTGCAGGATGGGTGCCATCGGAAGAATACTCGCAACAGGATCAACCAGCCCCATTTGTTGAGGCCGATGGCGTTCAATGGCCTGCTTGGGGGCCAGATTGGTCTGAAATCGAGAATACCATTCGATCTGGGCGTACTTCACATGAGCGAGAAGACGATGTTGGTGATGGTGGTCATGTTGATCCTTCTGGCCCCAGCTATCCATTTGACTCAAGCGATGAGGATACTGAGGAAGATTTGAGATCAGTGAGCGAGGAGGAAGATACTGATGATAACGACGACGAGGCGACATTTCATGAGGCAACCACGCCATACTACACACAGGTTCCAACTCAATTTCTACATAGTCAGAATGATGCCCCCGACTTTGTCCCTATGCCAGTGTATAATCCAACGGCCAATTTGGAGGTGGGTATGATGTTCTCATCGAAAGACGCTGTGCAGGATGCCTTTACCGAAGAGGCCTTGAGGCGCAATTTTGAGTGGAAGGTAGAATATTCTGACAGTAAACAATTACATGTCATGTTCATGAATGATGCAGAGGGCTGTACGTGGCAACTGCGGGCTACAAATATGAAGAGAAAGGGTGCCTGGGTGATTCGAAAAGCCGAGACCAACCACACTTGCTCCTCGTCCATACGTTCCCAGGATCACAGGCAACTTAAAGCAAAGAAAATTGGGAGAACTATTAAACACCTTATCGAAGCACAACCAGATATCAAGGTCAAAGTTATCATGGCCGAGGTGAAGGATCGACATTCTTACCCGATAAGGTACAATAAAGCATGGCATGGAAAGCAGAAAGTCATGGCTGAGGTGTATGGTGATTGGGAGGATTCGTATGCTTTACTCCCTAGACTTATGGCCGCAATGGAGGCGTCAAACCCTGGGACTGTTTTCGTGCCTGTATACAACAATGTATACACTGAGGATCAAGTTCGAGTACAGGAGAAGTTGATGTTTCACCGTATTTTTTGGGCTTTCAAACCATGCATTGACAGTTTGCGTTCTGCATACCGGTTATTCAGGTATTTTAATACATGTTAACTATTTGAAATGTTTCTATTCTTGCAGACCAAGTAAATTTCATACTAATTACTTTCTAATATTTAATTAGTTTTATGGAACCTTCCTTACTGGGAAGTACAGAGGAATTCTTCTCATTGCCACTGGCGTTGATGGAAACAGGCGAATTTTCCCGCTTGCATTTGCAATAGTGGAAGGGGAGAACAGCTTAAGTTGAGCATGGTTCTTTGACCAACTACACGAACACGTGACACAGCGGGAGGGTATTACGATTATATCTGATCGACACGTGGGGATTAGGAATGTCGTGGGTGGTTTTCCTGACGAGTGGGGATGGACATGGCGCTAGTGTATTCGACACTGGCTCGCCAATTTCCAACACAAATTTGGAAAGAAGAAAGATATAAAAAATCAATTGTGGCATGCAGGTACTAATGTCCTTTAATGCGAGTTATCTATGTGTTTAATAATTTGTTGTTTATCATGTATTGACCATTTTTATATTGTTCACCTTACAGCGGTTGCACATCAGCCAAAAAAGTACGAGAAGAAGATGAAGGCAATCCGTCAGACTCACCGAGCTGGAGCAGTATGGGCTGAAGGTCAAGAATTGGCCATGTGGACGTTCCATATGGACAACGGGGCCAGATGGGGCATTGCAACTACCAACCATGGAGAAAGTATAAATAATGTGTACAAGGGCCTTCGAGCGATGCCAATTTCTGTCATAGTGGAGATGTCATACTGGAAGGTCAACGAGTGGCGGGTGGCTCGGCTGCAGCTAGCGATAGGGAGGGAGATATCTGGTCATCCAATAGCACATGACGTTTTTGAGCAAATGCAGAAGAACGAAGAAAAATCAAGTAAGCATAAAGTTGTTCTTTTCGATCACAGTGAAGGGATATTTGCAGTGGAAACAGGTGTATGGGGTGGAGGTAGACGTGGCCACAATCGTCAAATGGTTACTCTGCACTACGAATTAGGGGAGTGTACATGTCAAAAATATCAAAACGAGAGGATACCTTGTTCACATGCAATGGCAGTAGCTAAGTCATTAACCATGAACAGAAACACTCTGGTGAGTCCTTACTACACTGAACAAGCGATACGGAACTCATATGATGCAGCTTTGAGGCCCATGCCAGATGAAGCGTATTGGCCTATATACGCTGGGAAGTTGGTTATCCCACCGTTGCACCTAAAACGCACCGAAGCATGCTCGAAGTGCAGACAACTTGGTCATGACAAGAGGCGTTGCCCAGGACAACCACTCCAGCATGATGCAGATATAACCAAGGACCAATGATGTACAAGATATTCATTTACTTGTAATGCGGTACTAAATTGTAAGCTTGTTTGAATTTTCATTACCCCTTTGTTTGAAATACTTGTTTAATTGTCGTTGATCGTCAAAATTATATAGACATCAAGGAATATATTTGTTCACTCTAAAATGTTCTCCTTGTCGATACGATCGTGTAGCCGCAAACGGCTCGTTATTTCGACGTCAAACGAATAAGATACGTTCGTTTTAGTTTTAGGTACGCAAGCGTTACTCTAACGACATGTGCAGCTTTGAACTAACTTATCTCACTCGTTTGAACTCGTAGTTGAGATCTGTAAAATTTTACATGATCGTGATTGATTTTCCCAACTTTTTTGTGTTGAGCTTAGATACTAATTCTTGATAAATTGATCCAGAATAATAAAACAAAAAATGTCATCAATAAAGTGTTTCAATGACAACTTAAGTGTGTAGGATAGTTTTTAGACAATGCAAACTCAAATCACAATACCTAAAATTTTTAAAAACAACATGGATAACTCAACGACAATGCGAACTCAAATCACAAGACCGAAAACACTAGATAGTTCACTGGTTTTCTTCATTTGGTTGCCCCTCATTTTGGCCCTCAGCTCGCCCTCCTCCTCGTCCTCCACGACGTCCTCGACCCCTTCTTCCACCTCCTCCTTCTGCTTCTTGGCGGGCTTGCTCAACGACTTGTCGCCGATGTCTCTTAACCCGAGCCCCTACTGGAGTTACAAGTGGCGGTGGAGGTTACTGAGATGGACCGGTAGCCTGCTGGTAGATCGGGCGGTGAGGGGTTTGTTTATGCGGGGTGTGATACATCAAACTCTGTTGCTGATGGTGGAAATGAGAGAAATTATCCGGTTCCTGGATTAACCTCCAGCGACATCCGGTGCAGGTGCCCACTCGTACTCAAATAGTTTAGGGAGCTCGGTTTCTTGAGTTGTACGCACCTCTTCGAAAGTAAGCAGAGGCCTCCGTTTGCTCCTTCGTGGGGGCTCAACCGGGGGCACAATGGGCTCACCATCACTGCATGTACCCATCGTGGTAGCCCATCGGTCTTGACTCCGGCATCCCTTGGACCACCCTTGTCATTCTATCTCCCAGATGTTGATGTAGTACTGATACTTTAGGATCTAATTCTTTGAAGCGTGTCGGAGGTCGATGGCATGTAGCTCCCTGAAACCTTGAGGCGGGGTTTGTGGAATTGGTTGCTCCATTCGATATTGCCTCAAGGATCGATTGGGTAGGTGCCACTCCACGACGTGCCAACAAATCAATGGCACCTTGCACAACCACGTCTCGTGATCCAGAGAGTTTCTAAGATGATGCAGTTCGACCACTTCACATGGATATGGATCCCAAGTAACCTATATTCATTCAAATAATGCAATTAGCGACCATTTACGTTGAAAAACCTTAACTTGTTAAAATATGATAAAGCATGATTACCTGATTCCACCAAGGCTTATCTAACTCAGAACGATAAAACAGTAACGAATGCTCAGGTTGATGGTCATTCGTATTTGCTCCTATCCACCTTGTAAGTAAAAGCATTGAATAAATTTAAATTAGGCTAAGTACGGATTAAATTCAATTTAAATCTAGCTAAGCATGGTATAAATTTGAATTAGGCTAAGTATGGATTAAATTCAATTTAAATCTAGATAAGCATGGTATAATTTTAAATTAGGCTAAGTACGGAATAAATTCAATTGAAATCTAGCTAAGCATGGTATAATTTTAAATTAGGCTAAGTACGGAATAAATTCAATTGAAATCTAGCTAATCATGGAATAATTTTAAATTAGGCTAAGTACGGAATAAATTCAATTGAAATCTAGCTAATCATGGAATAATTTTAAATTAGACTAAGTACGGAATAAATTCAATTGAAATCTAGCTAATCATGGAATAATTTTAAATTAGGCTAAGTACGGAATAAACTTACTTGACACCGTAAGGGGGATTTTGCAGAAAGTTTAGCTCATCATCGGCTCTCCGGTATGGACGTGGGTCTAGAGGTGCGAAGATTGGAAGATGCTCCCATACCCACAGCTGTAGGATAAACATCGCAGCACCAGCTTGTTTTGCTCCCACCTTCGAGCAAGTGCACAACTCCCGGTATATGCTAGCTAACACGACTGATCCCCAACTCTTTTCCCCCGATTGCGTCCAAGTCACCAGTGAGCAATGGCATCCATATGCCTTGAATCCACCGGTTTGACTTGTCGGGGAACAGAAATCCACCCACCAGACCAATGAGGTAGATGCGTGCATAGCGCTCCACTTGATCTTCCGGAGTCTCGTCATTGATTTCCACCTCATTCTGGATGTGAGTTACCAGCCACGGGACCGACACTTGTCCCGCATTCAACGGTGGATGCCCCCGTCCTTGAATTGGTGTGGTGGTCGGCATGTCAAATCCCAACTCAGCAAGAATGAGCGGCCCCCAACCTCCTCGGGTTTGGTAGTGGAACCAATGATGGCATCTCCAGAAATCGGCAGCCCGGTGAGGATCGCAACGTCTTTGAGGGTGATCGTCATTTCCCCCTCCAGAAGGTGGAACGTATGGGTTTCGGGACGCCATCGCTCCGCCATTGTCGTAAACAGATCGTTGTCGATTTCGATACGCATGAAATGGCGCAACATACCCAACCCGGTCCTCTCTATATAGGGCGCCAACCGTGGATGCCAAGGGGGCAAGTTTGTGGTCTCTTTATGAACGAAGAGAATAAGTGATTCCTTCAAAAAAAAAGGCAAAACATCAATTTTTTAGTTTAAATAAAGCAAAATAAAACCTTAGAAAATAATAAAATAAAGCAAATAAATCATCAAATTACCGGATTGTTATCCCAAATAGCACGAGAGCGATGAGCTTCTTGATCGGTTAAGAGTCTCATATCTCTTGGCCCATAATGGATATACAATCGAGGATCGTATATCTCGGCATCCATCTATAAAAAAAAGTAATGAAATCAGAGATTGTTTTGATAAAAAAAATCACAAAATCAAATTGTTACAATTAAAAATAAAAACAAAAACAAAAACCTACACGAAGAGCCTCTTCGTCCATTTTTTGGCAGAAGCAGGACAGAGGTTCGACGGGTTCAGGTTTGTAAGGGACGGGAGCTTAGCGGGACGGGGGGGCTTTAGGGTCAAACTCTGGTAATTCTTTCTTATGTGGAAGATCGGATTTATCCGCAACCACAGAGCATACTTAGAACGAGACTAGAGCGGATAGATTGAGGAAGAAAGAATTGTAAAAGTGGTGGTGTGATTTGGAAGAGGGGGGGAAGGGTTCTATTTATAGGGAAGGAGGGAGGGGTCTGCGAAAATTGTTGGGGAGCATTCACCGCGTCCCTCAAAGGCGGTGAATGCATCGCCCTTCTCAAAAACGGCGACAGACGCGGATCGAGCCACGTGGCATGATGTGAGGCGTCGGATCTGGGAAGAAAACCACGATCCGCGCCTCACCGCATCCAACGGCCACGGTGAGTGGGTCAGCGACGCGGATCGCTGAGGCAAACAAACATGGGGTATTCACCGTGTTTGTCTAACGCGGTGAATACACCACGTTTGTCCACGTCAGCGATCTGCGTCGCTTGATCGTGGCCCACAGCAGCGGTTTAATCTTCACCGCGTTTGAATAAAACGGTGAAGTATTCACCGTTTTACTCTAAAACGGTGATTGACTCGATATTGGTTCATCGTTTTAGAGGAAAATGGTGAATAATTCACCGTTTTTGTCAAACGCGGTGATCATCTTCACTGCGTTTGTCAAAAACGGTGAATGCCAAACATGTGTAGTTTTGAAAATATTTTTATAACTTATGTATTTTGGGAATTTTTTTTAACAACTAGTGTACTTTGGGAGTTTTTCCTAATAGTTGTTATTTGTTATGTGATATAATGGCATTTGTATGAAATATCACGTTTGGATGAATTATAAGTAGTGATATTGTTAATGTGATATTAGCACTCAAATTTGTTATTTTACCAATTTGTCCTTCTTAACCCTATCTCTTGCTAGTGTGTGTGGATGTTTCGGTCAACATACATATGTTATGCTATTAATATTTACGGAGTTCTATATGACGTGTTAAAAGATCCAAATTAGTTATAAAATATTTATTTGAAAATGTATATGGTACTAATATGTATGGAGTTCATATGGATTTAATAGAATAGTGTCGAGACATACTGCGTTTTTGTTATCGTTAAACATAGTTGTTAAGATAATAGGAGCAACAAATAATGGTTATGGGGATAAATGGGAAAGAAGAGGTAAAAAGTTGGACTAAAAAGGAGAGGCTAGTTTGGAATTTATAGAAAAGGAATGATGACATAATTAAAAAAAAAAAGACAATAACCTGTTGTTATCTGGAGAATACCAACCTTCCCCCTAGGTATTTGTCAAATAATAGGTTTGTGATAATTGGAGAATAACATGTGTCAAATATTTTTATCCGGTTAAATAACACATTTTGTGTTATTTGACTTTAAATAACACACAAATCATCAATCCAAACAAGAGTTATTTTACCTGTGTTATTTTCAAATAACTAAAGAATATTTTATTTTCAAATTACTAACTTAATGCACTCACTTTAATAATTTACTAGCACTGGACCCCGCCCGTTGGTCAGGAAAATTATATATGCAATATGCATGTAATGAGCCTTTTGTACATTGATTATACAGGTTACATGTTTAAAAGTGATTGAACTCTGCATAATTTGCTTAAAAATATAGTAACAGGTGAAATGGGATATAAGCAAAAAACATAACTATTCCCTCGAATTAGAGAATAAATCTCACCAATTGTTCTTCATTGCCTAAGTAGACCATGGTGCTTCCCATCATTCATGCAATCAACCTTCCCGATGAAAGAAAATGATAAGTGTCTAATAGAGTGAAAATAGTGACCACGGATGAAATAAAATATTTTAGTGACAAACGTGAAATAATTTAATAAATTTAGTGACCAAACTTGCAATTTATCCTTATTTTAAGGGGATTGCTATTCGTCGCCCTAAAATTTCTTATTCGTCGCCCTAATTAAGATAATTTTACTCTAATACCCTTAATTCATTTATTCGTAGTTTAAAGACTTAAACCCAAAACAAATTACCGGGAAATAAAATAAAATTGACATCAACTCATCGCCGGCCGCCGCTGTGCGATTTACAGTCCATAACAATGGCGTGGGGGCTCGAGTTAAATCCAAGTTTTGCACTGAAAACGAAAAAACCAAGACGTCCCCTTGTCCCTGGTCAAATGAATTCCAAGAATCCCCCTTACTTTGTCGAATTAATTCCCAGCGAGATAATCTTTGAAAAAAAACCCCTAAACCCTTACTCTGTTCTTGGAGCTTTGTTTATGTTTCTCTTCTCGTTCCTTTTTATTTGGTAATTGGGTTAGTTGTTTGGTGGGGGGACTAGGAAGTGGAATCGTTTCCCCTTTCATGAAGCGAGGAAGATAAAAAGGGCTGATGGAAATAATAGATGAGATTGCAGAGGACGGCTTGCCAGAGCGGGGACGCCTTATTCTTCGATTTGAGCGGCGGCCGATTTGGATTGGGGATGAAGAAGGGATTAGAGATTGTTTGGTTAGGGTTTACGACTGAAATTGGGTTGAGGGTAAATATGTCAATTTGTTGCGTTTTAGGGCGATAAAATTTGAATTTTAGGGCGACGAATAGCAATTCAGTATTTTAAGGGTGGAATGGAAATGTAAGTGATGAAAAGTAAAATTCCATTAGGTATAGCTTGCCATGTGATTTTTCCTACAATAGCAAGCAATGTTGCCAACCCGGTTTAGCCAGTTGGTCCGGTAAAAAAGTGGATTGAGGGTTAAATGATTTAATCTCTTTAATTCAGTTTAGTTCGGATATATAAAATATTCATTTATTGTTCATACATTTATAAATTATGTATGGTATCATCTAAAATATGGGTAATAACATATAACATTGCACCAAAATAACAATTCGTATTTGGATCCAACATGTAGTGAAAATTCAAACACAGTAATATAACATCAATATTGAAATGTTCAATTTAGAAATCCAAATATACGGTTATGCGAAGGAAAAAACCGAAAAGAGGCATAATTCTATGACAAAAGAAAAAAAGACATCATATGACCTTTGCTTCGAAAATCTTGCTCCAGACTTACCCGTGAGTGTATGGCGCCCATTTTCTCATCAAGTTAGGGTCACTCGAGTCAATTTGGACGTCGACCGTATATTGAAAACCTTAACAATCAAGACATGGTAAACCACATTACTCTAAGGTTAATATATTTGTATGACCTGGACTTTTCACATAATAAACATCCTGACCAATTTTTTCGATCTATAATATCATGGCCTGAACAATACACCAAAGTAACGAAATTGGCCAACCCGAAAAATTGACCGTTATCTTCGACGGTCAAACGCATTGACTAACGATCAACGCGCCACGTCAGCACCTTTCACTTAAAAAAATTAGATTTTCCACCTATTTCTATTTATTTTTTCATTTTGAAAAATTGAAAATTGAAAATTGAAAATTGTATTTCGGGTCCTTGCCATTTTTCAAATTTTTTATTCAAAATGAAAAAATAAATAGTAATAGGTGGAAAATATGACATTTTTTAAATGAAAGGTGCTGACTTGGTGGTGACGTAGCGCGTTGACCGTTAGTCGACGCGTTTGATCGTCCAAGATAACGGTCAATTTTCGGCTTTGGCTAATTTTGTTACTTTGGTGTATAGTTCAGTCGATGATGTTATAGATCAAAAAGATTAGTCAGGATGTTTATTATGTGAAAAGTTCAGTTCATACAAATATATTAATCCTTACTCTAATCATAAAAGACAAAAAAAATTTACTAAACTCTAATAAAATGATATAAAATGGATTTTATTTACATAAAAAAGAAATGAAAAATAAAATGCACTGTACAACTGCACGCTAACATTTGAATTCCATGTAATTTTAATGGGCTTAAGTGCCCTTGTTTCAGATCAGGCCCATCGTGGAATATGACAGGGCTTTAGCTTAGCGAGAGAAGCTGAGAAGCAGTAAAAGCATCGCTTCATTTAAGGAATGCGAAATGACCAGAGTGGACATCCGAAATTCACTCAAAAAGTTATAAATTCAAATCCCTGAAAATCCAACCTGTTGGACCCGTAAATATGACATAACCCAACTCGAACAACAACGGTAATCCACAAGCGCATATGAGCCCAAGTCCACAGAACACTACAAAGACCCAATGAAAGCCCAATGAAGGGTGGCTTGACCTATAAATATACTCTTAGGTCTTCCAAGTAAGGGATCTCTTCTTCTCCTCTACTCATTTTTTACATATCACTTATCTCTCTACAATCTCTCTCTACCTAAGATCTCCTTATTTCTTTATCATGGTACTAATGTTGATTGTCGGAGTGTAGATAATGGGGCCATCCCCACCCTTTCACAGATCGGAAGCATTCTTGTTTTTTGACTGAAACACAACCCATGTTCTACCTTTTATATATTTTGTAGATGCAAAAACACACTAGCAGGCAGCAGCAGCAAGGCAGACCAAACCAAGGGATTTACTGATAGAGTTGCACCAGTATACCTTTTTTTATAATCTTGATTTCATCTTATTAATCAATGGGTAGAAACCAAAGAAAATAAAAAGAAGATACAAGTACAGACCAATCAAAACTGACAGAAGAGAGTATTTCTTCATAGTTTTCAACTATTTGAAAACAACGCACTCTAACATCACAAAACAGGTTTGTCCCAAAGATTCCATATAATCCAGCTTCCTAATCACTCCAAACCATAACACCAAAATGACTTCTACACCTCTGTGTTCCAGTCTCTGACTCTCTGTTTCTCTACTGCACTTCCAAGGATGCTGCACTTGGAGTATGAGCTGCTGCAATTGAAGTCAGAGCAGCCAGCCAAACATTTGCCAAGTTGTTTTGCACCAGTCTAGCAGTAGCCTCCATGCATGTAATACTATAAAGTTGTTTGAGTTCAACATCCATTAAGCACTTACAGACTCAAAATTGGAAGAACTCTGCGGTTCCAAGGAAGCTAAACCCACAACCAGGAAAGAACACTCAAACGGGTCTGGTCTCTAATTCTAACTTTGACAAGATTCATGACCCCCAAATACGATCATTTCACAGTGATTCCTCCGTGGAAACAAACTAAAGGTAGCAATGACGGAGAAGATTGTTATTTAAGCAGCCAAAATGTTCTGCAACTCCTATGAACAGCTAGCTTTGAGCTAAGCACGACATCTTCTAATGCCGTGGAAAACAAAATCAAATTCAGAACCTTTCAACCCATTGGTAAAGCTTCTTACTACTACTAATATTCTATTACAGTACTCACGATGTAATCACCACAAACCCAACCCGCTATCTCACTTAACTAACAAAACAAAGCAAGCTAATACTCTGCTACACCATGAAGATACAGTTGAGGTCTCCTAAATATATACACGAACATAACTAAGGAATTGCGGGAAAGTTACAGCGGGAAGATACCTAAGCTGCTAGGAAATCAGAAAACTGGATTTGATGCCAAAACGGGATTTGCTCAAATTGGATTTGTTGGCAATACCTCACCTGCAGAATCAGCAACGGAAGTTGATCTTAGTCTGGAAAGGCTCGTAATCCATCGACCTGAAACTCACATCAAGGAAACAGAGCCTGCGTTTCTCCTACTTCATATTGTTCTTTGTTAAAGGACGCGACTCAGAGACTTCTTGCTCCTCGACAAAGAGAGGAGGCAGCTGAGCGCGGGCAGATCAATTGGACGATTAGTAAGTAGTAACTGTTGGAGACATAGGCCTCGACTAGACTCTTATCGATTAACAATAACTCATAGCGCACGCTAAATTGATAAGGTTTTATCTGCGTTCATAAGGGCGAATTATCTGCTATAAAGAACAACCAGTAGCAAATCCGAACCCCAGATTAGCATTACACATTTCAAAAGCAAACAAGCAAAGCTTGAACAGAAGAGCTGATATGATACCAAGAACGGTGATTTAATTCAACCAAAACTTCTACAAAACATTCCTCTTGCAACTACAAATATAGATGTTCAGAACACGACCAGAAAACACCAACATGCAAGCACGGCTAGATATAGAGACTTAAATTCCCAACCATCCAAAAATGCCTGATAACATAGTATCCCAGTAGCAAAAGTTGTGCAGCCTCTAAAGCTTGAAAAAGAAAAAGGAAACGTCTAGTTCATCCTCCTGATGAGCTCATTGATATAATCCTCACGGTTTCCAGCATCACCACCTTCCACATAGTGATTCCTCTTCTTCTTCAGGCCACCCAATGGCGCACTCAGCTTGAATGGCCATAGGAAGTTGTTGGCCTCCTTGAAATGAGGGCCAACAGTCATGATCTCGTGAATGAGATCTTCAACACAGATGATGCCGAACTTTCCGAGACCCTGCCAAACATTTAAAAACAAATCATTGAGTATTGTGCTTGTAAACTAAGTAGCAACAATACAAACTTTACTGTCAAAAAAAAAACAATACAAACTAGAAAGGTACAGCAGACGGCTCACAAGGGTTAAATACCTGCTCAACAATGGCATTGTCGGTCAAAGGAATTCTCTGCTTGTCAAGCTTGCCAAAACCCCTCTTGTATATCAACTCCTTAACGGATTTAAGATTAGGGTACCTGATATACATAACAATAAAGTCAGATTCATAAGGAGCCAACCCCATGCATGAAACTCGGTAAAGATAGAAGCTTGGAAAACATGTTTTAGTGCAAAAGACAATAAAACCCCATACCCATAAGTCACATATGGCTCCACTCTCCGTAGCATGTTGACTGTAGCCTTGTTGACCTTGAGGAACACACCATTGAAGATCTACACAAGAGAATTAGGGTTCAGACACACATTAAGATAGTAAAGACTAGTAATGAACATAACATGAAGTAAGAAATTACCTGTCTAAGACGGAACAGCTGCAAGATCTTTCTAGTCTTTGGGTCCATGGCATTAATACTAACAACAGACGGTGAGATTCCAAAGTTCAGAAACAGCCACTTTGCGGAAAACATGTATCAAAACAGGGTAATAAACCTTAAATAGAAGAGGCTTACCCACGAATGCGGACAATGAACAACAGCTTGGCCTCTGGGCTGACATAGAAACCACCCTTGAGTTTGGCCTCTCTCTTCAACCTGATCAACTCCCTCTCCTGCATCAGAGCGAGAGGATCAAATTGCCACAACCAGTAACTCTACCAACAATGCGAACAAATATTTTCTAAACCAAATTGGACACCCAAACACAGCAGAGGTTAGAGATGCAAACCCCGTCCTTGTACTCCTTGGAGTATTGTTCGGCCCTCTTGAAGATGATCTTTCTGTTCTCGGCACTCTTCTTCTTCTGCGCCACTGCTGCCTGGGTCTTTGCCAAAGCCCACTCGTCATTTCTCTTCCTCTTCTTCAAAACAGACTCGGGAACAATAGCGGCTACCTTAGCTTCTTCGGCCATCTCTACTCTACCTCGCCAGAAAGCAAGAAACAAAAGCAATCTAGAATATCAAACACCATAGCATAAAATAAGCGACTACGGGAGCCAATCAGTGAAGCAGAACATGTTGTTCAAACAACAAAAATATGATCTAGCTAACCAAAACAACGTTATTGCGTTGACCACGCATAGTCTAGATCCACATAATTAAAATCCCTAAGCATGCTAGAAGACGAAGACGAAGACGAAGACGAAGACGAACAAGTGGAATCGGCGACCTTACGAAAATTCTGCAGCAGCTAGACAATGGAAAGGCGAAAGGAAGGAGATTAAGCTGGCGCAAGAAACATTGAACCAAGAGTAGATTCTCGCTTACCTCTGATAAAAGACTGCAGAGGATTTCTGGAGCTCCAATGGTTTGTAGGGCGGCCTGGAGGAGATGAGAAAGGAGATACCTAGGGTTTTTATCGCAGTGGTTTTAAACATAAACCTAGAGCGTCCTCCTTGTATCTGAGCTAGGTCCAAATTTCTGGGCCGAACTTGTAGTCTGAGCAACGACTGGCTTAAACAACCAGTCCAGCCCAGCCCAGCCCAGCCCAAATTTCGGCTCATCTTTCTCGGAACCATTTTTTACTTACTGGAGCTACAGCCTTTAGCTGCTAAGATTTCTCCAGATAGCCCTTATCCTTCTCCGCCACAATCTTGCTCCCTTCTTCTTCTCCCTCGCCGGAACCAGACGAAAACGCCTGCGCCACCACTCGTCTCTTCCGATGAGGTAGCCGGCGAAAAGAAAAAGAAAATGGTGGAAACGCTCAATCTCCTCGCCAATGGTAAATCCTCGCTTCCCTGCCTTAAACCCATCAATTTCCCTTCCCAGAATCATGATTCCCCTTTACTCTCTCGCCCTAGCACTCGCCTCCACTTCCCCATTCTCTCCTCCAAAACTATCACCGCCGTTTCCGTGCCTTCCAAGCCCGCCTCCGCCGCAGCAATTCGAGTAACCCCCAACCCATCGCCGCCCAGGCCTCCGCCTCCGTCGTCCGATTTCCAGGAGAAAATGTACTACCTGGACTCAATCGGCCTCGACGTATTCTCCCTGGCCAGGGACCACCGACCCATCCTCCTCTCCGCCTCCCTGCCGGAAATCAAATCCATCATCGACTTCCTCACATCAATGGACTTCACCGCCCAGGACTTCCGCCGCATAGTCTCCATGTGCCCGGAATTCCTCACCGCCAGCGCCTCCTCCGTCATCCCCGTCTTCACCTTCCTCCTCCGCGAGGCCGGCGTCCAGGGGTCCGACATCCGGCGGGTCGTCCACCGCCGGCCCAGGCTCCTCGTCTCCAGCGTCAAGCACCGGCTCCGCCCCAGCCTGTACTTCCTCCAGAGCATCGGGATAACGGCGGCGCACAGGCACACCTACTTGCTGTCCTGCAGCGTGGAGGACAAGCTGATCCCTCGAATCCAGTACTTCGAGGAGATCGGGTTCTCGCGCAGGGAGGCGGCGGCCATGTTCAGGAGGTTCCCCCAGCTGTTCAATTACAGCGTGAGGGACAACATCGAGCCGAAGCTGAATTACTTCGTGGTGGAGATGGGTAGGGAGTTGAAGGAGCTGAAGGAATTCCCCCAGTATTTCTCCTTCAGCTTGGAGAACAGGATCAAGCCGAGGCACCAGTGCTGCGTGGAGAAAGGGGTTTGCTTCCCTCTGCCCGTGTTGCTGAAGATGAAGGATGTTCAGTTTCGGCAGAGGGTGCAGCTTCTCAGTGAGTCTTCGCTTCCATTCAGTTCCTCTCCTCTGTCCCGGGTAGATTTTGATCCCCCATTGTAGTACAGTACAGAGTATGAGAAAACTGTCACGGACCAACTTTTGGCCGGCACTTAGCACTCAAGTCTTGTTAGAGCACTAAGTCAGTCTTGCTCGTATTCACTCAAACTCACAAGTTGAGAGAAAACTCTAAAGATAGAAACTCTCAATTTCTGGATGAATGACAAATGAGGGAGAGGGATGCTTATATAGGCATTGTGTTCTAGTTTGCCTTCTGTATCTCGATGAGCTGCTGATTGTGACGAATGTAAATGGGTATAGCTCGGGTTACTATGTTGAATTGTTGATGACTGAACTTGTTGAGGGTTTTGAGCATACTCTGGCGGTTTAAGTGGGACTGAGTTATGAAGGGAATCTGTTGACGCAGGCAAGCATCTTGTTTAGTGATGGACGTTGGCGGCTATATGAAGAAATTTAGAGACACGAGTTGGAAATGCCATTTCAGTGTGTCTAGGAAAATCAAGATCCTGAATAACAAATGGATTTCCGATAACTTATCTTGCATCCCAAAATCAAGGATTGAAATATCATATCCTGGTTCCATAAGAAAAAATTTCCCATCAAAAGTGTTTTCAGCAACAAAAAAAAATGTGTTGAATTGAGATTGCACTTTTGACTTATTTGGACAACAATTACTAAGATATGGCTCACAACTCTTTGAACAAAGTTCGACCGCCTCTGTTCTTCGAAAATCCACTTCTCGTTTCACAATACTGGCAATCATCTTCTGCTCAATTAGAAGCCCACTACTCTGGTCATCTTTCTCCCATCCCCCCCCCCCCCCCCCCCTCCATTCCTCGAGATTAGAAACAATGCAAGGTAATTTGGGTGGTATGAAAGGAGTGGTTTTCTGCAAATGTCAGTTCGAAGGCGTAATGAGAACTTCACGTACTTCCCAGAAATCTTAATGCTTTCAAACTTATTTGTTATCTCTAGTTAGTACAATTATACTTCAATGGAAGCTATAGTGTTTCTAATGTTGTAGCTCATGGTTTTTAATAAGGGTCTTAGCTGTTATGGCTTTTTCGAGCGGTGTGATGTGCGCACCATAAGAGACTGGGGAGCAGATTTTCTAAAAAGGATAGTCGAGTTACATAATCAAGTTGTTGAACTGAAGGACGAGAATTGTAGACTAGTTAACCAACTCTAGGGTGAAGTAAACCGTCGAAGTGAATCCAATTTTGCAAGCATGGAATCCAACCTTGTTGTGGAGTTAGAAGTGCTAAATCGAAAATGAGGTTCTCAAATTGATGAGTCAACTAGTGATTAGTTAGAAGGTTGTGAGTAGTGTTTGGTACTTCTGTAGTTGTTAGTTAGGAGCATGTGAGTAGTGTGTGGTCCTTGTGTAGGTGGTAGTGTTTGTTGATTCCTATTGTTGATGTTAGAACCTAGTAATGAGTTGTTTGTAATCGTGTTATATAGCTTAATGTACTACTCTAATTGTACTTCTAATGTAAGTGTTTTTTTATCTCCTGCACGAACTTTAGGTTTTGGTTTTTCTTCTAGTACTTACTGGACTCATGCAAAAATGTGCAAAAAAAAATTGAAACTCAAGGAAGACACAAGATGGTTAGATATTTTTATATGTGATTAGAAATCCCCGACAACGGCACCAAAAACTTGATGTGTAATCTAGTGGTAAAATCCTAGGAGGCTCTAGGGTTGTATTCCACGAGGTCTTCTAATGCACAACTACTCACACTAACCATCCATGACATACACGAAAATCAGAAAGACATTAGGGATTTTCATTTAACAAACAAGCAAAGCAAGAAGAGTAAAGTTGTTTAGAGGGGTTTTCGATTTATAAATGCATAAAGTAAAGATACGTTATTGTAGAAGGTAGCAAACTCGAGTACTATCATGCATACTAGGGCTCATTCATAACATGCATTGATGGTTCATCTACTGTAACACCCTCCTTCGTCTAATATCACTCTCTACCCTTGCATGCGCCTCTTGCGATATAGATTTAACTAGCTAATGTGTGTTTTCGCTTCATACCATTAATTAATCAATGAAGAACAAGGAAGTTAGAATAGCATACATCTAATTGTAGACTTTTACGAACCATAATCATAGTCTATAGCATCGATGATCTAACAATCAAGCATTGATACTACTCGAAGTATAGATGGTTGATCATTTCCTCTATAATCGTGTATCATCAATGGGGTATCACTATAGAGTAATTTATTATCAATCTACCAAATGTTAAGCACAATGCATGTAGTAGCATACAATGGAATCATAAGCATCGATTATTAAAGAAGCATTATACTGTAGAAACATCAATGGTTGAACTTTTGGACAACTAAGTTAAATTGAGATTGAGATTAATTGCACTTTTGACTTATTTGGACAACGATTACTAAGACACGACTCACAACTCTTTAAACAAAGTTCAAATGAGGGTGTTTGATTGATTGTTTATGGGAATGAAAACTAAGTTAAATTACTCTACTCCTATGTAGATACATTAAGAGCTTCAAATTAAAGACTACGTCTCTGGCTACATGATAGAAAGAAAAAGGTAAAAGATAAACTTAACATGTTTGTCAGAGTGTTGGTTTTGAGAATCCTTGTCTCTGTCGATCCTTCCTCCTATTAGTAGCCATGGGGAGTTAACTGTCATAGAAAAATTATTTCTTGGATAACTCCCAAAAAGAATCGTTCCCTACTACCTCGAAGTGGTGGTGGTTACTCTTTCAACCGCCTAAGTGCCTCTTTTGGAACCGTCATGGGTCTTGGAGTGTAGTTTGACTCTCGTGGCCTTGTTCCGAATTTCGTGTCATACTAGTCTTTTGATAAGCATGTGGTGTCTCACAAAGGGGGTCATGGTCCTCTTGCCTCGAGGCCATGGACTTCTTACTCATGTGCATGGCCCTCTTATCTCACGGTCAATGACATCTTGTGACTTAGCCGCATGACTAGTGATATAATGCTCCACCACCACGCCCTTCTCACTCTTGCTCGTGGCCTCTCTCGTGAGGCGGCATGGACCTCTCAATCAGGCACATGGCCCCTCTCGTGAGGCGGCATGGACCTCTCAATCAGGTACATGGCCCCTCTCGTGAGGCGGCATGTCCTTCCCAAACGTAGATATTTTGGGTCGTTCGGTCTTGGTCATGAGGCGACATGGCCTTCTCAGTTCAAAGTAGCTCAAATCTAGTAAACAAAATATGCTTTTTGAACTTAGAAAGGAGATAAACAGTATACCAGAGAGATAGTCATCTTAGTTAAACCCAAAAAGCATGGTGCTTCAAATCATACGTGTTTCAGAATAAACGAGATCAAGGGAAGTCATCAGAATTACTAATTCAACATTTGGGTAGCTGAGGTAATCATCAGAAGGACTAATCTTTTCAATCATTTTTCAGATTCTGAAGGCTTTCTATCGCATAATACATGACTGATTAGAGCTGAGTACCTACCTTCACTAAGGCTATTCAGAAGGAACCTTACTGATATAAAAAAGGTTATCTGATAATGATTCTTTACCTCCAAAACCTAAACATTTACTTTTTTTCTACATCTCCGTAACACATTCAAGTGGCTAAGTACGGAGGAAACCAAAGCAGATTTCAAACAAAATGGGCAGCACTCAACACCATATTCAGACTTCACAACCATCAATAAGATAGAGAATGACCGGTGTAAGTCATGGCACATTGGCGTTTCAGAAACAACCACCATCCCCATCAAAAACCACTTTTCACAAATGTCGCCTTCATCCAAATCCATTGGATCAAATTAACTCATCTTGCGTACCAGCTACAAAAATTTCCTAACATCTATCTATGTAAGCCAATCCATACAATGGGCTTACACAAAATCGATGGCCAAACTTACTCAAATTATCGACGGAGGGAACTCGCGGTAGGGAAGGCAGGCCGTCGAAGCAGAGTTGCAACTTGGTTAATCGGAGACTGTTGATTCAGAGGGAAATCCCTACCCCTGTGCAAGAGCGCCTATGAACGAGAGAGATAGAAGAAGAAACATGAGGAACCCAACTCTGCTTTTATCGGAATCAAGTATCCACCATGCAAATCAAAACCAAAATCGCAGAGGAAAAGGAGTCCAGGGCGAGGAGGAGAGCGAGACTTACCGAACAATCGATTCGCGGGAGGAGAACGTAGCCAGAAGAATAATGGTGGATCCAGGGGGAGGCCACCCCGGGCCACGGCCCAGCCCTCCTCTGGATCCGAAGCTAGTATAGCCCTTATTAGTTTATCGGTTGTAGTCATTCGGCCCAGTGTTATTTTATAATAAGATTGTGTGTAATTAGGAAAATGGGTCAGATGAACATATTCAAAACACAACTCTAAACTTAACCTGAAAATTCTCACTCCAATGATTCTCGCCTAAAGAAAAACAAGCAATGAAACCTAAAATTCTAAAAGTAAAAAACGTAAAAGATTAAAAGGAATATGAAGTTTGTTCACTTGAAAAATTACTAGAGTAGCTGGTGAAAATAGGGATTGACACAATATATATTGATTAGTCGATTGATTTGTCTAGTGTTGACATTGCTCGTTTCAACAACTACGGAGAGAACCTTTTCACAAATGAAATAGGTGAAAAAATATCTACGTGATAAAATGAGCGATGAATTTCTCGCCAATTGGTTAACTTTTTGATCTTAAAGAGAGTATGTTATTGGTATGGATGTAGACTCCATTATTGATGAATTCACTATATTAAAATTTAAAAAGATCGACGTGTACAATTGATATAGTAAAAAAATTTATGATTTTCATACGGTATCTAATTTTCTAATGAAATGCGGGCCCAGTGTTCTACTGTGTCCTGGATCCGCCGCTGCAGACGAATCGCTGAAGAGGATGTGGGGAGAGGGGTTTGGACTTTTCAATTCGTAGTGGAGATGGAATTAGGGTTTCTGTTCTTGGAGCTGAAGGGTTAGAGAGGATTGGGGTTTTTTTCGTCTTGGAGGGAAGGGGGATAATAGTCCCGCCGAATGGAATTGTGGACGAAAAATAGAAATTCTAAAAAAATGTAAAGAAAAAGTTTATTTCATTCTGCACGCCATATTATGACAAATTCTATTGTCATATCAGATGATTTTTTGAACATAATGTGACAAACCATAAGGTGACGAGGTGTTTTGTCATTCTGTAGCCGTATTTGCGCGGTAAATAAGACATATAGTGACAAAATTATAATGACAACAAAAAATTTGTCACAATATAACTCTATTATGACAACTTTAAATGACAAATATTGTCGCATATAGTCAATTAAATGTGACAAGTCCATTTTTTGCCATAGTTGGTTGCCTAATATGACAAATATTTTATGACAACAAAATTAATTTGTCATTTAAGGTCAAATTTCTTGTAGAAAGGTCGAGGTTGGATTGGCTGCGAGATGGAGACGAAAACACTGCCTTTTTCCATATAAAGACCACGACTAGACGGAGATGAAACATGATTCGAAAAATCAAGGATGCTGTTGGGCTCTGGCACACAGAACCTGCTCAGGTTTTCGAGTATTATTTTTCTGGATGTTATTTACAGCTATCCTAATCCCACAAGAAACACCGGTCCTGGATGTTGTTTCTCGGTCAGTTTCGGTGGAACAAAATGAGAGCCTTCTTCGACCCTTCGATAAAGAGGAGGTACTTTCTGCCCTGCGACTAATGGATTCCAAGAAGGCACCAGGAGAGGACGGCTTGTAAGTCATGTTTTACAAAAAGCACTGGGAAATCATTAGTGAGGAGGTGATATCTGTTGTGTTGGGAATCCTCGAAGGAGGCCCCATTTCTCCGGGTCTCAACCACACTCTCATTGCTCTCATCCCAAAACTGAAGAGGCCAACGACTCCTCAAGATTTTTGTCCCATCATTGTATGCAATGTTTTGTATAAATTGGTGGCGAAGGTATTGGTTAATATACTAAAGACTGTGTTGGATCTTGTTATAGCGGAGGAGCATAGTGCTTTCGTGCCAGGCAGATTCATTATGGATAATATTATGTCGTCTTTTGAGTGCTTCCACTCAGTGAAGAAGAAGTCAAAGACGAGTGTGTTAGTTTTTGAAATCAAGATCAACATGGTAAAAGCTTATGATAGGGTCAAATGACACTTTTTGGAAGCAGTTATGATTCGCATGGGTTTGGCCATAGATGGATGGTGCTGATAATGAAGTGTGTTAGGACGGTCACGTATTCTATCCTTGTGAACGGTCATTAGTTCGAGATTTTTCATCGGACCGTGGCCTTCGCCAAGGCGATCCTATGTCGTCGTATATGTTTCTATTTTTCGCTGAGGGCTTATCAGCGACCACAAAGAAAGCGGTCCAGGAAAAACGTTTGCATGGTCTGCAGCGAGCCAGGGAAGCTCTCTCGATCTCTCATCTTTTCTTTACAGACGATTGTGTGTTTTTTGGTAGGACCAAATAGCAGGAGAGTAGAACGCTAAAGGACATCTTGCACGGCTATGAGGCTGAATCAGGACAAGTTGTGAGCTTCCCGAAGTCGGTAGTAGCCTTTAGTGGCTATGTCAAACCGCATCAACGACTCATGGTTAGCGGAACTCTGGGTTGAATATTGTAGAAAAACATGAAAAGTATTTGGGATTTCCGACTGTGGTGGGGCGCTCGAAGAAGGAGATTTTCACAGGAGTCAAGGACTGGATCAGAAAGAAGCTAAAAGGCTGATAATGAACTTCATAGGATGATAATGAACTTCTACTGGGGGCAGAAGGGCTTTAAACAACGTGTTCATTGGATCAGTCGAGAGGCTATGATGGTACCAAAGGAGGAAGGTAGCTTGGGATTCAGGGATCTCGAGGGCTTTAATACACCAATGCTAGCTAAGCAGCTATGGCTTCTGCACCAGCGATCGAATTCCCTTGTTGGCCGAAATGTTTTTGAAATACGACTTCCTACATGCTCATGTTGGATATCGACCAAGTTTTGTTTGGAGGCGTGGTGTATTGTACTCTGGTTCCTGTGGAAGGAACGCAATTGCCACCTCTTTAATGTGCAAAAGCTGGCTGAACAAGACATCATCCCTCGTGCGGAGCATTTTCTTGCAGACTACAAGACAGTTCGAGTAGCCGTTGAGATGAGTTTGTCGCATGATGGTAGCTGGAGACCCCCGCCGCCGGGCCATGTGAAGATAAATGGTAGCAGCAAAGAGAGTTCTGGGGAGTATGTCAGTTGAGGCGGCAGAATTGATGGCAACCGAGTTTGGGGTTCAACTCTCTCATCAACATCATTTGAACAATATTGTTTTAGAAGAAGATAGCCTTGCGATGGTGAACAATATGGATGCGGTTGCGTTGATCTAGTCGGAGTCCGGAGTCATATGTAGGAACATCCGCAAGTTGATGGGAAGGAAGGGGGAGACGAGTTGGTGACATGTTAGACGCAATGGTAATGCAGCTGCCCATATCATGGTTCACTCGAATACCATTGTCGATGTTCGCTCAGTTTGGCTTAATATGCCAACGGTGTTTTTGATTGATCAATTCGCATTGGACAATGTAACCACAAATATTGATCAATAAGAAGCTCATACAGATTCCGGGAAAAAAAAGAGTGTCATTCCTACATATGATGGCTAAGAAGATCCTTGTTTGTCTCCAACTTTTATAATAGGTTTGGATTTTTACGACTAGCTTTGATATGAAATTTGATGTTGTATCGTTATTATCTTGATAAATAAGTAATGCAATTACAAATTAGAAAAGTAGCCACAGAAAATGAAAAATATGTTTTAAATTATAGGGCGGATCATACCTAAAGGCTAAATCAAAGATGAGTAGATTGTTCCAAAGTGCAATTAAAAAAGAAAAGTTGCAAAATGACTAAATGAGAAAATTAAAAGAAAACAATGAGCAAAAGAAAGTTACAAATCTATCTGTTCCTTGTAATATGTATCTACTCTTTCCTTTGGGAATATTTATGAAAAAAAAAGAAAGTTACAAATCTATGATTGTCAAACCGGTTTATGTCAGTGTGCCGGTTTAGCAAGTGGAATGGTTCAACCGGTGGCACATACCGGTTTGTGTCGGTTCATGCCGGTCAATATTACAAATAAAATTATAAATACTCATATTTAAACATGACATTTAACGTCAATACCTAAACATTTATATTTGAATCCAACAAATAACATCAATATTTAACTTGTATACTCATAAAATAAATAATAAAATAATTTTTATCAATTAAATTCTCTAAAATAAGGTCATTTTACTTAGAGATTCGTATATCGATCATGCCGGTCATACCGGTGGTGTCACGCAGGTTTTATGACCGGTACCGGTTGAACCCGGTACAACCTGTGGCACGCCGGCCGGCGTGACAACCATGAATCTATCATAAATTTTTAATTTTTCAAAATCTTTATTATAATTTATAAGTAAAAAGAGTTATTATTTTTCAAATTAAACAAGCGAAAGGAACTCTAAAATTGTTACAATTTATTGGACAAAAGAAACAAAAGGATAAAAAAGAAGAGATAGAGGAGAGGGATGGCCGGGAAAGAAGTTTCCCGCAAATTTATTAGAATTTTTGTGTTTTTTTTCTAACTATTTATTTATTTATATTATTTGTCCTCCTTCCTTGTAATGTTACTGTAGTGTCCTCTCTCCGCTCCAACTCATAACAACTGCAATCTTCCCTCCAACATTTATCACAACACAAACTAAAAATTCCCTCCTTCCCTCGTTTTCTGCTCTTCCGCCATCTCCTTCCCCTAACCCCCACTTTCCCTCAAAAACCCAAATTCCGCCCCACTCTCCCTCTCTCTCTAAACTCCTCCACTTTCTCTCTCTAGCCTTCCCCTCAGATCCCTCACTCCCGCCCACCGCCGTTACGATTCCCCACCGATTCATCTCAGCTCAACTTTCCTTTTCAGATGTCCGGCGGCGCCCCTGCCTCCTCCCACCCACCTCCTCCCTCCGCGGGGGCAGCCCCCGCGCCGTCATCCGGACCGATTCTTCCTCCACTCAGGCGCCACCTCGCTTTCGTCTCGATGAAGCCGCCATTTATGGCCCCCGACGATTACCATCGTTTCACTTCTCCCGCTGCCCCCTCTAAGGTCGCCGATCGGGAAGCTGAAGCTATCGTCGTGAGATCTCCAGTAGGCTCCAACTTTCCCCTCACTCCAGCATTTCTGTTTTGCTCTTTGTCTATGTGTTCGCGCGCTGCTGCTACGCCGGCTCTTGGACTGTTTGTTTGTTAGCTTTGCTGCGTCTTCTTCTCGTTTTATAGCTGGAATTGGCTCGCAGATAGTACTGACTTTTGGGGCGCTAGTCGAATTGTTTGAAAAATGCCCTTTCTGGGTTGGCTGCTGGGAGTGGTTATATGGCCAATTAAGTTCGTGAGCGCTAGGGTCTCGGGAGAGTTGTTGGAGCTTCTTTCTGGGGGGCTGAGATTCCTAGGCATTTGCACTAGTCCTCTTCAATTAAGCCTTTTGTGTTCACCCATTAGTTACTGACTTTCTCCTCAAATTGGAACGATTCTTTACTGATTGTCCACATCATACTCGACAGTAAATTGCATCGTTTCTTTCTGAGTTTAATAAGCGGGATTCAGGCCTTAGTTGGTCTATAATTGTGCTTAAGTTTGCTTGTTGTTTTAGCTCATTGTTGTTATGCTTGGTGGCAGTTGAAAAGAAAGATCAGACTAGATGATAATGGAATTGATTCCAGCAAGGTTGCAAGCAGCCCCGGACAGACTGATGCATCTAGTAGTCCTTATCACACCCCGGTATCTGCTGCGAAAGGGGGGAGAACAAACAATAGGGCTAAGTCAACAAAGAGTAATAAATCGGTTCCTCAGACGCCAGTTTCAAATCCTGGTGAGACACTTCAGCTGTCATTTGGGTCTTCTAATGTTTGGTTATTGTTCTGAGGTCGGTTGGTCCTTGGGTGCTTATTTGGTAGGATATATGTAAGTGTGAATCCACTCTATGTTTGTATAGCTTTGTTTAGTTGACACTGTATCTTGCTTTCTGAAAGAATTAGCATTATGGGTTGGACATTACTTACTACATGTGTGTTTGAACCAAAGACATTGCAGGTTCCCCATCTGCACTTACTCCTGCTGGCAGCTGCCGCTATGATAGTTCCTTAGGTCCGTATTAATCGAATTTTTATGCTAATCTTCATCTCAATTTTGGAGTTTCACTTGGGGTTTTTGCTGACAGAATAATGTGGTGGAAACTGTCAGGTCTCTTAACGAAGAAGTTCGTCAAACTAATAAGGGAGGCAGAAGATGGTATTATTGATCTTAATAAAGCTGCAGAAACCTTGGAGGTAATCATTTTTCTGATTGGCTGTTTGAGTTATTGAATATGTTGTTGTGCTTATGGGGGAGTTTTTTTGTTGGATAGGTGCAAAAGCGGCGTATATATGACATAACAAATGTCTTGGAGGGAATTGGTCTGATTGAGAAGACACTTAAGAATAGAATACGATGGAAGTAATAATTTAAGCATCTCTTGGCAAATCCTTTCTCTTTTCTTGTTTTATTTTTTGGAATTCTATTCTGGTAGTTCCCGAATCCATAGAACTCATGCATGGCCTGATAAATGGTTGACCAGGGGTGCTGATGCTTCTAATTCGGAGAATGCAGATGGCAATGCCTCTCAATTACAGGTAGGTGCTAGGTGATATTGCTTCTTTGATATACTAAAGGAATGCAGATGGTAATTGTGTCTTCTACCATCATAGTATTCAATGATGCCAATTGATCAAATTATTTTCTCTCATTCGTTTCCTTGCAGGCAGAAATCGAAAAGCTTTCACTGGAAGAGCAAAATCTAGACAATCAAATTAGGTTAAATAGTTCGTTCCTTGCTTGAACATTCGCTGACAGTATGTCTTCTGTCATGCGACTCTGATTCTGTTACACTTTTGCAGAGAAACACAGGAGAGACTGAGAACTTTGAGTGAAGATGACAACAATCGAAAGTAAACCCTTCCCCCATGGAAACTATGTCATTGCTCCCATCTGTGTGATGATCATAATAACAACTCTTCAACCATTCTAACAATTTCAGGTGGCTTTTCGTTACAGAAGATGATATTAAGACACTCCCTTGTTTTCTGGTTAGTTATTTGATCTTCACCTTTTCTTATCAAAGATTATGGCACCCTTTCCCAATTATACGCGTATGAGGTTGTGATTCTGTGACCTTGGCAGAATGAAACTCTCATAGCTATTAAAGCTCCCCATGGAACAACTTTGGAAGTTCCTGATCCTGCTGAAGTAAGTGAATTTTGTAATCTTACTAGGATATACGAGGAATGGTTTTGTTTTCCTTCTTTAAATGCATCTCAACTAAGCTGATTGCTGCTATGTGCACCAGGCTGTTGATTATCCACAGAGGAGATATCGCATAATCCTTAGAAGTACAATGGGTCCTATTGATGTCTATCTTGTCAGGTATGTGACTGATTGCCTGAAGACACTCCCTATTAAACTAATGTATGTATATCTGTGTTTATACTCGTCTCTGCTTTGAAGCCTGAGTCATCTCTTTTTCCTCCACAGCAAATTTGAGGAAAATTTTGAGGAGGCCAATGAAGTAGGGCCCTCAACTAGCTTTCCACCACATGCTTCTAGCTCAAGTTCAAGTGTAAACCCACAGATGGAGATGGTTTCTACTACTCAGAGAACCGAGAAGGCTGCGGAACCTCCAGTATTGCAGGATGCTCATCATCATATGTTCTCGGACTTCAACGCTTCACCGGAATATGTAGGAGGAATGATGAAGATTGTTCCTTCAGATGCCGATGTAGGCCCCCCCACTTTCATTGACTGTTCACTTCCTGTCTATTTTGTTTCTCTAATAGATAAGTCTGTTATAACAACTTCTTTGGTAATGTTTCGTGCTATTGCAGAATGATGCAGATTATTGGCTTCTTTCTGATGTGGGTGATGTTAGCATTACCGACATGTGGAAGACAGATGGTATCCTTGCAGATTTTTACTCTTCTCCTTCAACTCCCCCACGACCTGTAAGTTGAACATAGCACTCACTCATTTTCCTTATATGGTGACTCTCTTACTCCTGCCGATATTGATTGGCCCCATGTGAGAATGCTTTTCAGTCCGACTTCGGGATGGAGGAAGTCCACACTCCTCTGCCGCAGACTCCATCATCAAGGATTGGTTGACAAGTCTTCTGGCGTATTGTAAGATCGAGTCCTGGCTAAGGCAATACCGGACTGTACAAGTCGAGCTAAGATCAAGCAAATGGTCATCTTTTTTCACCGAAGGCAACGATCATCACTGCCTAAAGGACTCAACATGCAGAGAGCCAATTCTCCAGGAAGCTGACAGATGGGGTAAGCTAACTAACATGGCGTATACTCTAATGTTACCTTTACGCCGTTTGTTGAAAGTTGGAAAAGATAGAGAAATAGGAAAAACGAGGTGAGTGAATGCTTTGCTATGGAGTTGGGTAGTGTAGGACACAAATCATAATAGAATTTGGAGAGAAGAAATCAAGAAGTCGGATTTGCAACTAATTGTCTGAGAATGTGAAGGTCCTTTGTAATTGTGATACCGAGTACTATAGAAGAATTCGTTTCAACCTTGGGAGGAAAACAAATGTAGCTGCTCTCACGTGGGACAAAAACAAAGCACGAGATGATTGGTGAACAGCATTTCTCAACCAGAGTTTTCATTTTTGTAGTTGTCTATCATCATAGTTTTGTACACACTTCAAGTAAATTATTAACATGATGTCAGTCATGGCTGTAGTCTTAGAACTGCCCTCGTTTTCTTGGGGTGAATTCACCACCTGTCTTATGTCAAACACTGTTGTTTACTTCAAAATGTTAGATCGATCTCGCAAGACGCAAGTAATTCATTGATGGAACTTCACTCTCTACCATTTTGAGAGTCATATGTCAAGCACTCTTGTTTACTAAAGAGTGTACGATCACTTATTCTGATATAGTATGGTATCGGTCCGTGTTTAACTGCTTAGCAGTGACTAATTTGATAGGTTTTACGATTTTGCTGTATTATCCTATACTTGGACTGCAAATGAGTCGAGATGATTGTTACTTGACTCATCTTATAAAACAATGTTCGAACGATGATACTTGATGTTTTGAAAATACAAATTAAATTACGATTATTCTTATGGAGATTTCTCTAGAGAGCTCGAGAGCTCGGGGATTACGAGTACTCTCATGTTTCTCAACTCTCTTCCCAAAATTGAAGTCCTCAACAGTTCTGCATCTCACGCTCCCAAGTCCCAACTTCTCTTGATGTGAAACTCTCGTGCATGTACGTCAATTAACTGTGAGTTAGTGACACCAACTCAAGTTCATCGTTTTGTTTCTATTTTGATGTTTGCCGGTTTCAGTCCCTCAATTAGCGCCAAAAACCTCCTTCGTTGTTCATGCCATTCATCCATCCTCTGTCTCTATTCTCTTTTTTCCCTAATGTTTGATGATCTCTTTAGTTGTCTGGTTTGTTAAGTGCACATTCAAACCCCTTAAATAATTTTGTTATGACGATGAAGGAATTTCCTACATTACTAATATTCTAAAACTTGTTCTTTCGTTGCGAAGCTCAACTTCGACTCAGACCCTCACTTTGAGCTACCCCAAGATCGAGCCACAATTGTTGAGACGCGAGAATCTCGTCAAAAGACGCAAAAGCAAGATTGAGCCTATGATTGTCGATGAAATGAAAAACTATGATACCTCTCGGTCCTTGGTTGCCCCATATGGAACATAGTGCAATTCATCTCTGATTGTACGGGAGTCTGGTACGATGCGTACATGATGACTGCAAAGTTCAAAAGCGTAGCAAACACAAATAGACCAACACCCATCATCTTGACCGGTCATCGGATTAGGGTCTCTGAGGTCGATGCGGTTGATGGCATCCACCACCCCCCACTATCATACAAGTTGGCGTGTCGCCAATCATGGTCGCGAATTTCTTTTGCAATGATGCGCCTCATCTCCATTTACCTCGCCTGAGTACCATGTATTGCAAAACTGAGCGCACACAACCCACAATGATAGTCCATAATAGGGTCGTGAAATGAACTGAAACGTCCTTGAACAATCACTGGTAGCCGATGCAAGTGACAATATTTGGTCTGGCTGCTGGAAACTCTGTTATTATAGAACCGGAAATTAGTTTGGCTAAAAAGAGACGAGTACACTTATATAGGGTTAAATGCACCACATGCCACTTAAGTATATGTCGCACACCAACCATCTAATTTGTTTTTGTTGCAACTAAATCACAAAAGTCAAATTAAGGTTGCAACTAAGCCATATAAATCGAATTATAGTTGCATCATCACAATTTTCGTCCATAAACTTAACGGATGGTACCAAATATAAATTATTGTGCTACATTTTTGGATAAAATAAAAGCTAAATAATAATATTGCACAAATGTCAAACTTACTTGACCATTTTGGATAATTAACCTTCCCCCTCTCTCTTACTAGATTAGGGCCCGGCCTCTTGGCCGGGAGAGTTTGATATTCATGTATACGTGTAGTAAACATTGAGGTATATTTTTTTTTATGGTTCATGTTGTTGAGGATTGAAGTAACTATTTAATTTGGTAAGTTCTCCATGAATAATATAGGAAAGTATTTAATGTATGACAAACAACGTCCAACTACACTAACATAAATACATATTTTCAAACAAAGTCATATCTATATTAAAATGTCTAAGAAGAACAATGATAAGAGTTGTTTTACATCATACATGCATAATCAATCTTCAGTATACGATAAAAAAATTGTCTTTTCCATTTACTTGAGTGTATTCAATGATATAATGAAACAAAGTATATGTTTAGAGTGTCCTTAAAAAGAAACAAATTAACTCATACACTCATGGTTCGAGTGACATTTCATATAGAAAGCTAAATCAAACAAAAAAGAAGGCAAAAACTAAAAGCAACATACCTAACATTTTGGGGGAAATCTACAATAATAAAAGTCATTGTAGCTCTTACTGAAGTTAGAAAGACTTTGATTTAATGGTAAGTAAACAATGATATGTAGTGCCAGGTCCGGCCCAGGCCCTGTGCTGGTCAGACCCACAGCACAGGGCCTCAATATTTTGGGGCCTCATAATCCATAAGTCTGAAGGCCCAGACGCCCAGACAAAAAATCCACAAGGAGGGGAATTGAACCATGGACCACGATATTAAGAAGAAGGAGATTCAACCACTGAGCTATGTGTTGTTTGCTGAATTTAAAATAACTGTTAATGTATCTAATGTCTGTATTCTTCTTTTTTCCCAAAATTTCTCAACTTTCCCAAATCATCCAACGCCTAAATATGAATTGGTCACACCCAATTCTAATTAACTCCTAATCAATTTTCATCCCTACTATACAGACTCCTAATCAACTTGTTTTAAATTCTAACCCTTTTTCTTTTGTAGGGAACTTATATTTATTGGTAATTTGGAAACATTAATCTTTGATTATAATTTTTAATTATGTCAACCCAAAATTTTTAAAAAGATAGTTCTAAGCGTAGATAATATTTTAAAAATAGAAAGTATTATTAATTTTTTAATTATTTTTTGAAGTTATGTAATTTTTATTATTATTTAATGATTTTTATATTTAATAAATTTGTGAAAAAAAATTTTGGGGCCACATTTTAAATTGTCGAATAGGGCCTCCAAATATCATGGGACGGCCCTGTGTAGTGCTTATCCTTCACTCATCGCTTCACCTAGATAAGTAAACTGTTGCCTGCTCTCTCTCATTCTCTGCCAAACCATTCCTCTTATGGCTATGTAATCCATCCCTATCCACCTTCTACAATACATTAGCCTACGAGACGATCAACAGATTCCTCATTTCTTTCTTCCATTTATAACTCTCTATTCATCTATCTCTCCCCCTTCCAATTTGTGAGCTATTTATAAGGATCTTCAAATCACAAATCTAAGCTTTGTCTTCTTAATATGTTCTTGCTATAAAGAAGGCATCTTTTTGTCTCAACTGGTCAATTTAAGGATTTGTGATTGGATTGAATTGAGAGGAAAAATATATCAAAGAGAGGTAAATAGAGAGTAGTAACCAGAATTTCCAGAAGTAGAATGGTGGGATGCGAGACACAAGACCAGTCAGTGAGGAACATAAAAGCAAGCAGAATGCAAAACATGGTATATGAAAAATTGGAAAACAATCGTGGGAAATATGAGGAAATATGAGGAGAGATTGAGACCGTGATTTCAGTTCTGTTTAGGGCTCGGTAGAGGGGGGAAACGCAACAACTTAGGATTTCAATTCTCTTTTATTTTATCCCTTCTGAAATGGAACAGGGTGGTGGTGAAACGACCAAGGAAGGAGAAGAGAGAGGAGGAGAGAGGGGGGAAGAGTAATTATTCAAAATGGTCACATAAGTTTGACATTTGTGCAAAATGATTATATACGATTTATTTTCTTCGAATTGGTAACAAAATAATTTCTCTTTGGTACCCTTCGTTAAGTTAGTGGATGGAAACTGCGATGGTGCAACCAAAATCAATTTATATGATTTAGTTGCAACCATAATTTGACTTATATGGTTTAAATGCAACAAAAACAAGTTAGAGGGTTAGTGTGCAATATACAATATACTTAAGTGGCACATGATGCATTTAACCCCTTTTATATAAACTAATATTGAAATGGTTACGTGTGTGTACCAATATAATGTTCGTCTGGACCAAGTTCGTCGAATGTGTGCTCATATAAAGGACACCCGTCTCTCTAGGTCCTTGTGGACTTGGTCTTCGCCAATTTGGTGGACCCCGACGTTGTGCTCCCTGAGTTGGTTTCATGATCTTCTTGAGCGCGCGCAACTGGTTCTTCTCCCACCAAGATTTATTTCGTCCAGTTTACTTTTTCTTCGGTCTTCCCTTTTTGTTTTCGTTCACCTACGGCTCGTGAATAGTGTCTTGCGCTGGGTGGAGTTCGTGAAACATGCCTGTGACTGCTTTCTAGTAACCTCTGGCCCTCTGCGTACAACCTTTTCGGCCAAGTCGAATAAGTGTTGTTGCACTTCATTCACTACGGGTACATATTCTTCAACATTGGGTGGGTTCCCATATTCCAAAGATTGCCAAAAGACGTGCAGTTCACTAGGGTATATCTCTCTATCTGAAGCTCTAGCCACCTCAACCTGGCATCCACACTTCAGATCGTGTGTGACATGATATGGCATGGACATCATTTTCCCAGTTTTTCTTCCACTTCTTTAATTTCATTAGTATAATTGCCTTTGCGTTGACCAGCCTTTGCAAGTATGTAAATGGTGAGCCGTCAGATGGTAAAAGTTTTTTTTTTTTCGAGAATTTTTCAACATCTTCCTCACTTCAATGAGTTGCTTTTCAAGGAAGCGATGGTTTGCTTGCCATACCGTGTTGATATAATCATGGGAATTTCGAAGGTACGTTTTAAATGATGAATGTGGGGACTCAACCCTGTTTAAGCTCTTGTTTCCCAAATAATGGAATGCATGTTTCATAAGATAAACTGCCCACTTCTCTCGGTGCCCCCACCACTCATGCAGTATGTAATCCACCATGCATGGGTCCTTGTTGTCCCAAACCCTTCTAAATTTTTCCATATCAACGTACAGACCTTCTTCAGACCGTAAGACCCGACTTCTGAGGCTTGAACATTTGAACTGCATAATGTGATGCTCTCCGTGTTAATGTGGATAGTGAGGTAGTTCGACACCAATGAGAAAAACATAACTAACATCCGCACTGGAAGCAATTACAAAGTTGCCCAAAAGGAAATGTGTCCTAAATTATAGTGATTAGTAGCAATGTTGGTTTGTGTTTTAGGAAATGCTGTGTTTTCCTGTTTTTTGTGAATTGTAGTTTGTAGCGTCTTATATTTCATGATGGATTGATAAATATGAACTATTGATTTTCAGTAATAACATTAAACACAAAGAGCCACTCTGTATAGAGAGTGTTCGTACGACAATTGCGAGCTATCCTGTTTGAATTTTTGTTGTTCCGAATGGTTGATATTCATTATTCAACACAAGAGAGTCAAGCCTACCATATGAGCAAGGAAAGTCGAGTATCGAACTATCACGCATATAGTTCATAAATGTTCAATCTTTTCTAAGAAAAAATCAGTAATTTTTAGAGTCAAGTACTTTCATACTATTTCAGTTATATTATCAATAAAATATTTAGAAAATTCCAAATTATTGAAAAATATAATTAAATTGATTAACATAAAACAATAGAAAAAAAAACACAAAAACAAAATTCATTTGACATAAGAATAATAAATTGATTGACAAAAACTAGTGGGAAAAGTAAAGAAAAATAATCAGCAAAGGAAAGAATAAGAAAGCTACAATTTATTTGACAAAAGAAACATAAGGATAAAAAAGGAAAAAAGGTAAGAGAATAAAACTTCCCGCAATTTTGATAGAATGATTGCGTTTTTAACTAATGTATATATATGTTACTGTAGTGCCCTCACCGCTCTAACAACAATCTTCCCTCCACATCTATCATTCACAACACAAACTAAAAATTCCCTCTTTCCCTCGTTTTCTGCTCTTCCTCCATCTCCTTCCCCTAACCCCCACTTTCCCTCAAAAACCCAAAATTCCGCCCCACTCTCTCTCTAAACCCCTCCACTTTCTCTCTCTACAGCCTTCCCCTCAGATCCCCACTCCTGGCCACCGCCGTTCCGATTCCCCACCGATTCCTCACAGCTCAACTTCCCTTTTCCGATGTCCAGCGGCGGCGCTCCTGCCTCCTCCCACCCACCGCCTCCCTCTGCGGGGGCAAGCTCCGCGCCGCCATCCGCACCGATTCTTCCCCCCCTCAGGGGCAACCTCGCTTTCGTCTCGATGAAGCCGCCCTTTGTTGCTCCCGACGATTACCATCGCTTCACTTCTCCCGCTGCCCCCTCTAAGCTTGCCGATCGGGAAGCCGAGGCTATCATCGTGAGATCTCCAGTAAGCTCCTCTTTTCCCCTCACTCCAGCATGTCTGTTTTGCTCTTTGTCTGTGTCTTCGCGCGCTGCTGCCGCGCCGGCTCTTAGCTTGTTTGTTAGCCTCGTTTTAGCTGGAATTGGCTCACCAGATAGTTTTGACTTGTGGAGTGCTAGTCGAATTGTTTGAAAATGCCCCTTCTGGGTTGGCTGCTGGGAGTGGTTGTATGGCCAATTAAGTTCGTGAGCGCTAGGGTATCGGGAGAGTAGTTGGAGCTGCTTTACGTGGGCTGAGATTCCTAGGCATTTGCACTAGTACTCATCAATCAATTAAGCCTTTTGTGTTCACCCATTAGTTACCGACTTTCTCCTCAAATTGGGACGCAGCTTTACAGTATTTCCACATCATACTCGACAGTGAGTTGCCTCGTTTCTTTCTGAGTTTAATAAGCTGGTTGGTCTATGCTTCTGGTTACCTTTGCTTGTTCTTTTAGCTCATTGTTGTTGTGCTTGGTGTAATCGTGGCAGTTGAAAAGAAAGATCAGACTAGACGATAATGGAATTGATTCCAGCAAGTTTACAAGCAGTCCCGGACAGACTGATGTGTCTAGTAGTCCTTATCACACCCCGGTATCTGTTGCTAAAGGGGGGAGAACAAACAACAGGGCTAAGTCGACAAAGAGTAATAAATCGGTTCCTCAGACGCCAGTGTCAAATCCTGGTGAGGCACTCACCTGTCATTTGGGTCATTTAATGTTTGGTTATTGTTCTGAGGTAGTTTGGTCCTTGGGTGCTTACTTGGTAGGATATATGAAAGTGCAAAACCACTCTCTGTTTGTATAGCTTTGTTTAGCTTATACTGTATTTTTCATTAGGAAAGAATTAGCATTATGGGTTGGACACTACTGAGTACTGATTACATGTGTTTGAACGAAAGACATTGCAGGTTCCCCATCTGCACTTACTCCTGCCGGCAGCTGCCGATATGATAGTTCCTTAGGTCTGTATCGATTGAATTCTGTATGCTACTCTTCATCTCAATTTTGGAGTTTCACTTGGGGTTTTGGCTGACAGAGTAATGTGGTGGAAACTGTCAGGTCTCTTAACGAAGAAGTTCGTCAAACTAATAAGGGAGGCAGAAGATGGGATTATTGATCTTAATAAAGCTGCAGAAACCTTGGAGGTAATCATTTTTCTGATTGGCTGTTTGAGTTATTGAATATGCTGTTGTGCTTATGGGGGAGTTTCTGTTGGATAGGTGCAAAAGCGGCGTATATATGACATAACAAATGTCTTGGAGGGAATTGGTCTGATTGAGAAGACACTTAAGAATAGAATACGATGGAAGTAATAATTTAAGCATCTCTTGGCAAATCCTTTTTCTTTTCTTGTTTTGTTTTTTGGAATTCTATTATGGTAGTTCCCGAATCCGCTGAACTCATGCATGGCTTGATTAAATGGTTGACCAGGGGTGCTGATGCTTCTAATTCAGGGAATTCAGATGGCAATTCCTCTCAATTACAGGTAGGTGCTAGTGATATTGCTTCTTTGAAATACTAAAGGAATGCAGATGGTAATTATGTCTTCTGTCATGATAGTATTCAACGATTGCAAGTGATCAACTTATTTTCTCCTATTCGTTTCCTTTGGAGTTTGTGGGCGCAACTGGAAAGTGTGGGTGTTTAATGGACTTCTGGAGAAACGGGTTATATCCTCAATTTTCTCTTGCAGGCAGAAATCGAAAAGCTTTCACTGGAAGAGCAAAATCTGGATAATCAAATAAGGTTAAATAATTGATTCCTTGCTTGAACGTCACTGCACAGTCTGTCTTCTGTTGTGCGACTCTGATTCTGTTACTCTTTTGCAGAGAAACGCAGGAGAGACTGAGAAATTTGAGTGAAGATGACAATAATCGAAAGTAAACCCTTCTCCGATGGAAAGTCTGTCATTGCTCCCATCTATGTGATGATCATAATAAAAACTCTTTAATCATTCTAACAATTTCAGGTGGCTTTTCGTCACAGAAGATGATATTAAGACCCTCCCGTGTTTTCTGGTTTGTTTATTTGTTATTCTTCACCTTTTCTTCTCAAAGATCACGGGACCCTTTCCCCTTTGTGCGCTTATGAGTTTGTGATCTGTAACCTTCGCAGAATGAAACCCTCATAGCTATTAAAGCTCCCCATGGAACAACTTTGGAAGTTCCTGATCCTGCTGAAGTAAGTGACTTTTGGAATCTTACTAGGAAATACGTGGAGTGCTTTAGTTTGTTTTCTTCTTCTAATGCATCTCAATTAAGCTGACTGCTGCTATGTGCACCAGGCTGTTGATTATCCACAGAGGAGATACCGCATAATCCTTAGAAGTACAATGGGTCCTATTGATGTCTATCTTGTAAGGTGTGTGACTGATTGCCTAAAGACACCCCCTATCGAACTGATTTCTTTGTGTGTTAATACTTGTTTATGCTTTGAAGCCTGAGTTATTTTTTTTTCTCCACAGCAAATTTGAGGAAAATTTTGAGGAGGCCAATGAAGTAGGGCCCTCAACTAGCTTTCCACAACATGCTTCTAGCTCAAGTTCAGGTGTAAACACACGGATGGAGATGGTTTCTACTAGTCCGAGAATCGAGAAGGCAGTGGAACGTCCAGTATTGCAAGATGCTCATCATCATCATATGTTCTCGGACTTCAACGCTTCACCGGAGTATGTAGGAGGAATGATGAAGATTGTTCCTTCAGATGCCGATGTAGGTCTTCCTCTTCATTGAGTGCTCTCTTCCTGTCTTTTTTTTTTTTTTTTTTGTTTCTCTAAGAGATAGGAAGTCTGTTATAACAACAATTTCTTCGATAATGTTTCGTGCTATTGCAGAATGATGCAGATTATTGGCTTCTTTCTGACGGGGGTGACATTAGCATCACCGACATGTGGAAGACAGATGGTATCCTTGCAGATTTTTATTCTTCTCCTTCAACTCCCCCACGACCTGTAAGTTGAATATAGCCCTCTCTTTCACCTTACTTTTGGGGGCGACTCTTATACTCTGCCGATGTTGATTGGCTCTATGTGAGAATGCTTTTCAGGCTGACTTTGGGATGGAGGAAGTCCACACTCCTCTGCCTCAGACTCCATCATCAAGGATTGGTTGACAAGTCTTCTGGCATATTGTGAGATCGACTCCTGGGGACTGTACAAATTGAGCTAAGATCAAGCAAACGGTCATCATTTTTCAGCAAAAGCAACAATCATCACTGCCTAAAGGACTTGTCACGCAGAGGCTCAATTCTCCAGGAAGCTGACAGATGGGGTAAGTTAACAAACATTGCCTATACTCTAATTTTACCTTTACGTCTGTCTGTTGGAAGTGTGAAAAGGAAGAGAAATAGGTGGGGGGAAACGTGGTGAGTGAATGCTTTAGTATGTAGTTGGGTAGTGTAGGACACACATCATAACAGAGTTTGTGGAGAGAAGAAACCAAGAAGTCGGATTTGCAACTATTTCGTTGAGAATGTGAATGTCCTTTGCAATTGTGATACCCAGTACCGACTGCTATAGAAGAATTAGTTTCAACCTTGGTAGGAAAACAAATGTAACTGCTCTCACAACATGGGACAAAAACAGAGTACGAGATGATAGGTGAACAGCATTTCTCAACCAGAATTTCTTCATTTTTATAGTTGTCTCTCATCATAGTTTTGTACACACTTCAAGTGAAATTATTAACATGATGTCATTCATGGATGTAGGCTTCGAACTGCCCTCGTTTTCTTGGGTGAATTCACCACCTGTCTTGTACTATGACTGCCTCTGTGGTTGCAGCCTGTAAAACTCACAAATGTTAGATCGATCTCGCAAGTAATTCATTGGTGGAATTTCACGCTCTACCATTTTTACCAGTGTTATTGAAGTCGAGCCAAGCCGCTCGGTCCGACCGGTAAAATCGCCACCCTGTCAAAAAATTGGCTTGGAACAGTCTAAAAGCCGCTCCGATTTTATGTAGCGGTTGACGAGCGGCCGAGACGGTTAACCGCTCGTTCGATTTTTGCGATTAAGCCGTTAAATTTAATTAAAAAAAATGCAGAAAATTAAAAATTGAAGTAAACAAAAAACGTCGAGCTCTCAAACTGAATCCTTATTTCCATTTCAAAATTTTGAAGGAAAGAGACAAGCTCTGATTAAGAAATGTCCACTATTTATACTGATAACGTTTATTAGGTACCGATTCTCTAACGATTTTTAAACGATCTAATGTCAGTTGGACCACTAAAGTGCGAACCGTTCGCATTACCGCGTCATACTTCGGTTCGGTTTTGACAACATTGATTTTTACAGTCATATGTCAACCACTGTTGTTAACTAAAGAGTGTATGATGGCTGTTTGTGATACTATGGTAGTATGGTATAAGTTTTGTATAGTATCGGTCGGTGTTGAACTGCTTAGCAGAGACAACCCCGATAGGTACGATTTTGCTGTATTATCCCGGCTGCAAATGAGTCAAGTCGAGTGTAAACGAGTCGAGTTCGGTTCGTTTGCTGAAATGTTGGTTCTTTTTTTTTATTTGAGCTTGACTCGTTAATGAGCTCACGAACTCTAGTTGAGTTTAACTTATCAATCAGCTTGCTTGTTTGACTCGAGCTTAATCTTGTTATTTAATATGTTATTTAATAGTAATTAGTATCTAAGCAATCTATGATATACAATTTCTCTTTCAAATTAAAAAAAATACACATTCTCTTGTAAGTCTTACATACATCATATTTGGTGAGATATATGACAAACGTATGAATTATCAACAACCTAAGTCACAAGATGTAGATTAATTCGTTCATAAGCTTCTAATTGAGATGATTATCAAATTGAGCTAGTTCACGAGCTGAACAAGGAATAGCTCGAGTTATCGAGCTGCTCACCAGCATTGTTAGCTCATTTGCAGCCCTATGCCCCTATCTTTTGCTTTTTATTCCATCTTCGATACTGTTTAACGTGAACGTTGTGTAGCGCAAAAGATTTTCGGGTCGAAGCTGCTGGATTCCCTTTTTTCTTTATAGGAATATAACGATAACCGTGTTGACAGGAGGAGGACAGAGAAAACCAAAATGGTCTCCACTTCACGCTCTACCCTCTTATACCGTGTGTTGGTTAAAGCCACAAGCAAGCAGAAAACGAAGCATAGAAACAATTGATTCTTTATCTTCTACGCCCCTATTCAGGTCGAAATTAGATAGGTGTAGTTCCCATACCCTTTGTCTTATTGGGTTGGGTTGCATGGATGAGATCATGAGATCTCAGGGGGACTCTTTCTGGGGTTGTGAAGTCGTGTTCCACGACGTGAGAGAGCATACAATCTATTAGAACTTAGAATGGATAGGAAATTCGACAATACAAGAAAGTAAAGAATACACAAATTTACGAGGTTTATTAATATCAGAGTGTGTTAGCTACATCCATGATCAAGAAAGAAGCCGTTTCACTATACTTAAGGGAATACAAATTACAACGAGACCCCTGTAACTTTAAATCGACAATTTGTATTCAATTCATAGTAATATCATCTATTAATAACATTGCAGGTACCAACATTCATCATCTCCTCTGCCCTGCCCACTCACATGCACAACCAAGAAATACTACATAGTCCATACTCCATACACAAACACATCTATGGTGGAGCAAGAAGCTCTGCCTTTCTTTAGGGTGCTTACAACTTCTCAAGCGCTGTTTGATCTTTGATTAAATAACATGATGATGTCTGCTTCATGTTTGTAGTGCACTATCTTTGTCATCCTGCTAATATTAGGCTTGAGGTAGTGTTTCTCTGTGGAAACTTCCACGATGTCGCTTTGATTGCACTTTTGATTTATGGAAATCAAAATGGTTGCTATTCTACTCACACATCTTCAAATAACGTTCGAACGAGAGTGACTGATGCTTTGAAAATATATATAAATTAAATTACGAGTACTCGTATAGAGATTTCTCTAGAAAACTAGATAACTACGATTACTTCTATACCTATGGAGACCCTGTTATGGAAGGAAAGCTCCACAACTAGGAACTAGCTTTTTACCCGGCCCGTTGGCCGGAGAGTTTCATTTTATCGTTGACATTAATTCAATTTATCTATATGTTTAAACTATTTTAGACCTTCTAAATTTATTATATTTTGTATTGATAAGTGAGTACGTATGTGGTGTGTCTATATATTGAAAATTCTCAATACTTAGCACATTCACTTATACTGTTTGAATTCTCTAATTATAAACCATGTCACAAAGGTATACCACGTCCATGTACAATTTTTTCTATCTTATATGAATCCATGTTGTTCAGATGAGGACATCTTACGGAGAGTTTCTTTGTATATATACTTCATTATTGGATAAATTTCTTCATCCCAATTTAAAGTTGACACTTTGAATGTTCATGAAGTTTACTGTAAGATCTTATTTGTATTTAGTCTCTTATACAATATGTATCAATTGCTAATTTCTGAAATTTAATTTGGACTAACTGAGACTCATTGTCGTTGTTTATATATTGTTTTAGAATCTCAATCCAAGATACCCACATACGGATTTTGATCTTAATATGGTGCGTTAGTGTATAATTTTACAACTTGTAGAACCTTCGTTTTCTGAAATTTATTTATGTTTGGTATTTGTTTAGAAATAAAAATTTCATTACTTATACTAATATATGCATTTTTTGTATTGCCACATTTATGGTCAATATATAAGCATATATATTAAAAAGAGTTTAATTATTTTTAAGTGTAATTAATGCTTGTTTTTTATCGGGATTTATAAAATGTTAAGAAAATAAGGGAAATATGAACAATTGTAAAGAAAATAAGGGATGGAAGGACATATTATAAGTGAGAGAAAAATTATTCTTACTTATCATCTTTATTTATCCAATAATGTGATTTATTCTTGCTCCATTGAATTTCTATCGAATTATTTTATTTCATAAATATATAATTATTTATGCATGTGTTTTATTGCAAAAAAAAAAAAAATGCATGTGTTTGCTAAGAAAGATCATACCTCTTACGATGATTAACTTCTCTAATCTTGCTTCATAGGTCAGTGGTTGATGAACACATGATGTTTAACATACAGTTTAGCAAAGATTCATCTAACTTTCACATGTACCATTTTTTTAATGTATCTCGTGTCTCATCTTAAGATATGAAGTCAAGTTCATCAACAATCATACCGAAGTCATTTTAAAATTTTTTATTTATAATCCTTGAAAATTTATTACTCCACGTCTTAAAATTAAATTTCTTAACATATGACGTAAAACTTCAGTAGAGTTTGCTAAATTAACACGATATAGAGCAAAAATGCAAAATATTAGTAATTTGAACTTAGGATACATTGTAAATTATTGCACCTATGATTCATATTTTTTCACTTAATTAGAATGAATGAGGTTTTTGACCAAGCTCACTTATTGCTTGGTCAAGTTTCTATTCAAACGTTTCTTGTTTTCTCTCTTTAATTTACATCGTTATTTTGTCGCGATAAAATGTTATTATGTATGTGTGTTTGTATAAATTGTTCATCAAAATGTAACATATTTGTAAATTATTGTAAAAATGAGTTAAAATTTACTTAGTGAGCTTTAATAAGATATTTTTTTGGTTGAGAAAAAAGTTATATGTGTGACTCAAAGACATTAGTCTATTTTTGCGTACATCTATACAATGCAAAAGTAAAAACAAAAACATAAAAGAAGTATTGGAAAAGAAAAATAAATATTAAAAAAGTTAGAGATAACAAATGTAATATATGTCACTTTTCATACATTATTTATTATTGTGTACATTGATATAATACAAAAAAAAGGATAAAAGAGAAATGAAATATTAAATGAAGAGAGAAATAACTCCATAAATAAATCAATAACTATTTTTCTTTTTGTAAAAATAATGTCCACCTTGGCAATTTGTGAGCTCTCCAAGTGCTTAGGTGGCAAACAATTACTTTTGAATTGCATTAATATTATGTATATATAGATACAGTTTAGCAAAGATTCATCTAACTTTCACATGTATCATTTTTTAATGTATCTCATGTCTCATCTTAAGATATGAAGTCAAGTTCATCAACAATCATACCGAAGTCATTTTGAAATTTTTTATTTATAATCCTTGAAAATTTATTACTCCAAGTCTGAAAATTAAATTTCTTAACATATGACGTAAAACTTCAGTAGAGTTTGCTAAATTAACACGATCAAGAGCAAAAATGCAAAATATTAGTAATTTGAACTTAGGATACATTTTAAATTATTTCACCTATGATTCATATTTTTTCACTTAATTAGAATGAATAAGGTTTTTGTTTAAGAAATAGATTTTATTGCTTGGTCAAGTTTCTATTCAAACGTTTCTTGTTTTCTCTCTTTAATTTCCATCGTTATTTTGTCGCGATAAAATGTTATTATGTATGTGTGTTTGTATAAATTGTTCGTCAAAATGTAACATATTTGTAAATTATTGTAAAAATGAGTTAAAAATATTTTTTTGGTTGAGAAAAAAGTTATATGTGTGACTCAAAGACATTAGTCTATTGTTGCGTACATCTATACAATGCAAAAGTAAAAACAAAAACATAAAAGAAGTATTGGAAAAGAAAAATAAATATTAAATAAATTAGAGATAACAAATGTAATATATGTCACTTTTCATACATTATTTATTATTGTGTACATTGATATAATACAAAAAAAAAAAAGATAAAAGGGAAATGAAATATTAAATGAAGAGAGAGATAGCTCCATAAATATATCAATAACTATTATTCTTTTTGTAAAAATATTATCCACCTTGGCAATTTGTAAGCTCTCCAAGTGCTTAGGTGGCAAACAATTACTTTTGAATTGCCATAATATTATGTATAGAAGATAGATAGATAGATAGAAGATTATAGAAAAAAAAAAAGAAAAAAAAAGGACAAAGTTGTTTATCTTAATTTGGTTGTTGTCTACCTATTATGTCTTTGCTCCGGATACTTATCGAAAAACATCCACGTAGTCATTGTGGAATCGCTCCATCTTTGTCTCTCACGTTTCTTAACTCTCTTCCAGAAATTAAAGTCCTCAACCGTTATGCATCTCATGCTCCCAACTTCTCTTCATGCGAAACTCACGTGCACACCAATGAACTGCGAGTCTGTGACACCAATTCAATTTCATATTCTTGTTTCTACCGTAATGTTTGCCAGTTTCAATCCCTCAATTGCCGCCAAAAGCCTCCCTCGTTGTTCATGCCATCCATTCTGTCCCTATTTTCTTTTTTTCCTAATGTTTAATTCAATCTCTTTAATTATGTACTATGTCATAATCCCCAAATCACACTGAATAATTAAAAATATATTTATTTGTAATATAACAAACAATAAATGACTTGAAAGAGGATGGAAAGCACAAACATCAAGAATAAATATAATTATTAGCTAAACATTTTAGACTTCTGAAATCATTCTTCAAAACTCAGCATAATACAAAATATTAGCCAAATCTCTTGCAACTTATCAAAATATTAGTATGCCGCCCCTTGCCTTTTAGAATACTAAACTTGTTTTCATTTCCAGAATCTAATTTCAGGATTTACCAAAATTCTTAGCTAAACAAGTTTTTCAGGTTTTGTTTTCTAGAAAACGACAGCTTTGTTTTCATTTTAATTTGTTTTCTGTTGCAGCAACTATAATAAACGAAATGACAAGTGAACGGCCTTAATGTTCCATTCACTTTCATTCCGTTTCTTACTGCCACAAACAAAAATCAGTAAACACAGACAAAAAAAATGCATTAACTATTCATTCTATTTTCATTTCGGCAAACACTACAGGAACCAAATGGGGTAGCAGGCCGTAAATCACAAAACTCAATTTTCTGGAAACTAAGATGGGTTCCTCCATGTTTCCCAGCGGAAAACAACTATTGTAGATAAATGAGGATTGAGTTTCGAATCTCCTAACCCTCACATTGTTTCTGGTCTAGACTTTTCTCAACTTCTTGGTTGTAGACTTGTAGTTAAAGTTGCATCAACCTTTTTAAAATTTGTTGGATGTCCTGTCATATCTAGCCTTATTAGAAAACAATATGAAGTAATTAAATATGGTTCAATTTTCAATGTTCAATTTCAAATTCGCCAAATTTGTCATTTAAACAAGTTTAGTTCTTTAGTTTTTCAAAAAACGATAGCTTTGTTTTCATTAGAATTTATTTTCTGTTGTAGCAACCACTAGAAACTGAATTCAACTTCTTGGTTGTAGACTTGTAGTTAAAGTTGCATCAACCTTTTTAAAATTTGTTGGATGTCCTTTCATATCTAGCCTTATTAGAAAACAATATGAAGTAATTAAATATGGTTCAATTTTCAATGTTCAATTTCAAATTCACCAAATTTGTCATTTAAACAAGTTTAATTCTTTAGTTTTTCAAAAAACGATAGCTTTGTTTTCATTAGAATTTATTTTCTGTTGTAGCAACCACTAGAAACTGAATGACAGGTGCACGTGGCATAAGCATAAAAGCTATTCTAACACAACTGATCAAGATTACTTAAGTGAGCAAATGTAATATGATATTGTCTGAAACTTTTCCCCTTCATCCTCAACTAAGTTATGTTTCTACTTTATCTAGGAACTGAAAAACTTCTCTAATCCATAGATATTCCACCATTCTTACTCAATTAAAGTAAAATTATTCATTAAAATGGGCATGCAGTAGGATATGATTTTTTTTACATGGATGACTATATCTATTTGTCCATATCTCCATACATGTACTAGCTTCATTAGTAAAATTAGATCAATGCAGGCTCCAACTATTACTTAATGCCCTGAAACATAATTTGATCATTTAGCCTTCATTCCTCTCTCTTGCCAATTAAATAATCCCTTGCAAGACTTAATTCTTCATATTTGTCACAACTCAATCTCTTCCTATAATAAATTTCGCGAATAATTTGTTGTGTGAATCAAGTATTGATTTTATGGTTTGAGTTAGGTTAAACAAAATGGGAAATAACCATGGGTATTCATAGATCAACAAGTAAGGAGATGATAAAGCAAAAATTCAATCCACACCATGTATGATAGGTGGGTTCTAGATCTTAAAATAAAGAATAATATAGGAGTGATTATTTTTTTCACCCAAAGAATGCCTCTACTTATAGGGTTTGAGACTTGAGATATAAAAACTCCATCGCTATTGACATCGTTCCCATCTCCTCAAGGATCACACTCCACACTTCCAGCCTCCCTCCAATAAGCGACTTCCTTCCAGACTTCGAGATCTTCTCTCTCAAATCACCGAAGGAATTTTCTTCCTACACCTTGGTGTAGAAAACACAAGTGATAATCCTAGATGTGACTAGGGTCATATTCCACAAGGTATTTTGATGGTAGCTACTCAAAACCAGATGTTCAATGATAGAAAGTAAAATCGATGGGTTGAGGTTCCCTATATGACTCGAGTAGATCACTAAAGAAAATAGAAAACACACAAAAGTTTATTCAAGTAAGGGACAAGTTGTTCAGGAAGTATCATCTAGATGAGCATGTATACTTCTCCTTAATAAGATGCATATATGCATCAATGTTATGTTGACACTCTATCCCTTCCTCTAAGGCCATTCGCTACCTGTGCATGCGCCTTTTGCTATGGGAATTTAACTAGCTAATGTGTGCTTTCACTTCATGCCTTCAACTAATTAATGAAGAATGGAAGTGAGGATAGCACATCCTTTATTTTGCCCTTCTACGGACCATAAAAATGGTACATGGTACTGGGGGCCTTTAGCCATCTAGCATCATCATCATTCGAACACTAAAAGGTTGTACTTCCCCCCTAATGCACGCCTAACAATGATGCCCACTGCACGAGATTAATTTCCTTGTCTCTAATGGTAGTAGTGTAATAAGCACACATAGTAATGCAATATAGAAAGATAACAAACTAGGGGTGGGCAAACGGTTTGGTAAATCCGAACCGAACCGAAACCAAATTAAACCGAACTGAAACCAAATTAATGCTATTCGGTTCGGAATTCTGAAGGAAAATATGGATAGTTCGGAAATCAGGGTTCTTTCAAACGAACCGAATTTCCGAATTTCCGACCGAAAAACCGAAATACTATAATTGCAAGCTCCAAATGGTGGATTTTTATGTTTGTAGTTGGTTTTAGAGTTAAATATTTGAAATGTTTAATGACTTATGTGTTGAAAAGTTTGGTTTTATCATTGATGATGCATATAATTGATATTTATTGTTTATATTAGGGGTGAAAAATAATTTAAAAGTGAGAAAATACAAGTAGCTTCACAAATTCGGTTTTGTGTGAAAAACCGACCCGAACCGAATTATAGTTCGGTTTAAACCGACCGAACCAAATTATAATTCGGTTCGAATTCGGTTTGAGGTTTGGGAGAATTCGGAAACCCGATATTCATAATTTTGGTTCGGTCGAAACCGAACCGACCAAATGCCCACTCCTATAACAAACATATGAAGAACTAAACCATCAATACTCCAAGAAGGACCATCAATACTTTAGGGAATCTCATTAACTCATAGAAAATAATACATCACATCATCGAATCAACACCCCAAACAAAAAAGAGTTAACTAGCCATGCGAGAATGAGAAAGAATAGACAAAAAATGAGTCATATTCTCCTCACTCCGGCAGAACTTTAGCAGTTGTTAGTTGTAAAATACCTCCTAATTGAAGTCTAAACACCTATTGATAGTACAAAAGAGATGGTACAAAGGGAATTTATCTCCAAAAGTCAGCCAATTCCTCCCTTATCCGACTTGAAGTCGGTTTTCATCAACTTATGGTAGAAGTAGCTTGCTGAAGAAGCTTTCTTGAGGATTAGGATTTTAGCGGCGGCCGGGGCTATTGTTCTTCTCTTTATAGCATTTTACTCATCCACAGTTCTCCAATGCTTGATCCAAATTTCCTTAGGTTATTTTGTACCTTAAAAACCATAAAAAAACACACCTAGAAGGCATCAAAGAGTACAAGAACATAACCTAGTTCTATTAAAGGCTCATTGATCAAATAATTGTGATTTAGATATTAAATACTATTAAAATGACTAAAAATGTTTCGATAAAAGGGGAAAATGTATCAAGAATGAGAGTGACAAATACTAGAAATATAATATCATCACACCTCCCTTAAAGTTCTCAGCCAAACAGTCGAATCTGCTCCCCCATAGCCACGAACGAAGGTGTCTCCATGTTCACACTCCTCCTACGAAATCTGGATTGATGTCATGCTCCCCTAGCTCTGGTAGCCCTTACTTGGGGCATTGCCTCTTGTTAAATATCGTCATGATTGACAGTCCCATCAAGGCCTCCTTTCGATTTCTCAAACTCCATATAATTCCCCGGATCGCCCAAACTTTCAACATGATTTTTTGTGCAAGTAGTGTTGAATTTAACATAGCGATCTTAATATGAACTTGGGGTTAGAGAGAAACAAAAATAACTTTTTGGGGGTGAAAGTTAGAATCTTTACTTTCTCATATATGCAGTTCTCTTACAAATAAGGTGGATCATACAGAATGAATAAATGATATGATCATGTACAAAAAAGAATAAAACAACAATTGGGCTAGAAAGTCGGAACCAAAATTATAAAAAGGGCAAAAAAGAACAAACTGAATGGCTGCTTGAAGTAATGGTTGATCAGTACTATTTGTTTTTTAGCTCTTGGGGTTGGTAGTAGTAAGGAATTCATTTATGATTGTTTTCTTTGGATTTTTTTGTCGTGTTTCTGATATATGGTTTTGTACAGTTATTTTTTATATAGAATTTGTAGTCTTCTTCACTGAGATTATGAAATCGGTGTTGATCGTCGGAGCCTCATCTTGGCCTGCTGGAGATCATCATTGTCTCCATCCATCATCTCACCATTGAGTTGCCTCTGGAATCTTGGTGAATCAGCAGCTCCTGACTCTCGGTTCAATCTGCTTGCGGCTCTGGGTGTCCACCGCCCACTTCCGCTCCTTCTCGCTGATGGAGATTCTGGCGGTGGCGGGGCGACTGGTACAGTGCTACCAGTTTTCTTCTGCACAAAAAAGTTTTGAACACCAAATCAATCATCACATTCTTAGAAGATTCTAATGCTTCTATTTGAGGACTCCTTTCATTCTCTAGGTGCTGGCACATGCAAGAGAGATTCCTATTTATACTTTTCAAAGGAACTTCTGTTTGAAAGTTATGAATGTGTAGTTTGTATGGGTTGAGTGCTTCTAATTTGCTGTGTATTATGATGATTAATATATATATATGGCAGAACTAGTTGTCATGCGTTTGGATACGGATTGTATGCATATGAAATATGGGCAGTTGAATGAAATTTTGAAATTGCAAGGAATGATAAAGAAATTAAATAACCATAAACAATAATGGGCTTGGAGGAAACTCATAGAAAGCAAAAATCTTATTTCACAAAGCACAACAAAACAGAAAGTAGAGTGAGGAAAGCTGCAATTTTTCATTACATAGCTCTAAAAGGCTCTCCATCAGAGTGCTTAGTGATTAGTTGTTATTGGAGGATGGATGCTTTGAATCTTGTGGTGGTTGTCTAATGGGGCATGCGTATGCGAGTTCTAAGACTTGTCTAATGGGGCATCGTATGCGAGTTCTAAGACTTGAGAGAGAGAGAGAGAGAGAGAGAGATAGATAGATAGAGAGAGAGAGAGAGAGAGAGAGAGAAGAATTTTACTTGAGTTTGCTTGGTGGCAGTAGCATTGCCAAACCTTACAGATTGAGTAGCTAACTGCTCCAGAACTTGGAAGATAGTTGATTGCCCCAACTTGGCGCAATTCTGCCAGTAGTATATGGTGAAATCCCAAACTCTTGCTCTAACTTCTTGCAACTTTCTATCTATCTCGGTCTCATGCTTTGCCACATATGGCTTTAAGAAGTTGTTGTACATGAAGCAAGTCCCCTACAAAGACGATAACCCCATTTCAATTCAATTTCAAAGTTAACTTTCAAGCATATTCCTTAGCTTCTTCTGACTATATTCTCTCCTTACTTACCTTGGTTTTGGGATACCATAACCAAATGAAAAATCCCAACTTGGCCTCTCCATAGAACGGTAACCTTCGCCACAAACCAAGAGTTTAGTCCAAGTTAACACAATAATGTGTTGGAAATTTGTATTCTTACAATTACTATGCTAAGTTTTAGTACGCTTACCAAGACAAGAAAAAGTCACCAAACCTTTCAAAAACCGTTATTAGTGCAACAATGATCCTGCAACACAAAATTTTCATTTCATAATATTCTTGCATGACTATAAAGATCTCAAACATCTATTGATGGAGAACAACAACATAAAAATACCACGAATTCCAGTATAGACTAAAACATTAATGCAAAGAGGCCTATGAAATCACAAAGTGACACCACTGTCAGAAGATCCTATTTCATAATTCAATTATGAAATGATGGCTTAACGGATGGAGAACGAAAGTAACAAACAACAAGATTTTCATGAAGGAAGAAACCCGCCTCACCCAATAATAATTTTGTTAGATGACCAATACAAGAAACAAAAGCAAGCCTAATTTAGCAGGAAAAGGAGGCTACCCCATCATACTTACCAATACTGACACCAAAATATGACTTCTTCCATGTTGATTTTGTTCTTCTCGGCCGACTTGAAGCATTCAAATGCCGGGTATGCATACCCAAAAAACAACCTACATAAACAAAACAAGTCCCCTTTATTTAGATTTTGGATACAGAATTACACTGCCCACAACTAAGTTGAGAAGATTAAAAGGCTACATACAAGAGGCATCTGTTTATGAAATCTCCCAACATCCTTTAAAGCTTGAAGATGCAATACCTCCCCACCTTCCAAAACAAGTTTGAAAAATTCTCTGAAAATTTCAAACAAACACTTCTTCAGTATGGGTACTTTGACACCAGCCCATAAACCAAGGACAAGAAAGCAAGAAAAAGGAAGAAGTTGGAGGACAATTTCCACCACCACCTCTGTAACCGGAAATATGCTTTTGTATTCTTTATGTTTCTTTTCTCTCTCTCTCTAAATGTCAACGAATGAACTTGCAAAGGTGGGAACCAAGAAGAACTGCACCCTAAGAGAAAAAAGATATCAGAATCCAGATATCATAATAGATAAACACGCGAAGGGAATTGATAATTAATCCAAAATCTACACCTTTTTTTAATATATATGTTATAAGAATGTCTCTGATTCTGCGAATTAAGAAAGGGCAAGGAATGGCATCCGCAGAAACGTGAGACTAAAGGCCCAGACTGCTATCAAAAGATGATGATGAAGAAGATTATTGGGAAAAAATAAGGAAAATTTTGGGTGAAATATTAGAACGAAAGGTGGGCTATATATAGCATATAGTTAGTTATTTGATTTGGGGGATGGAGAATAAAGAGCGATAACGAGAAAAGGAAGGGAAATTGCGGAGTTTCCAACAATAGAAGAAATTTCTTGGTAGAGACACATCCTCGCATTTTTTGACACGTCAAAATTCTGGGTTGAAATTAGAGAGAAGGGAAGGCGAAGGGAAGATGCTCTATCTAGTCGTCTAGCAAAGAGAGAAAAGTAAGACAACCATATAGTTAGATATTTGATTTGGGGGATGGAGAAGAAAGAGCAATAATGAGAAAAGGAAGGGAAATTGCAGAATTTCCAACAACAAAAGAAATTTCTTGGCAGAGACACATCCTCGCATGTTTTGACACGTCAAAATTCTGGGTTGAAATTGGAGGGAAGGGAAGGCGAAGGGAAGATGCTCTATCTAGTCGTCTAGCAAAGGGAGAAAAGTAAGACAACCATTATAGGGAGATTATAGGGATATTGCGGGAGGAGAGACTCCCATGGGATTCTTACATTGTTGGGGCAAAAAAAAAAAAAAAAACACACACACACACACTTTTAAAAATCTTGTGAAAATTCATTGTTTTTCAGAATGTTAGAAACTCAGGGTATTCTCTTGAATTTTCATCCCACGACAGTTAAGAATTGGAGGGCAAGTGAAAGTATAGAGGATGAAAGTCCTTTCCTTGCTATCCTAATATTTATTTATTTATTAGTATATGGCCTTTTAGAATATGCAAAAAGTACTCTATAGGTTTTGTGAATTTCATGACCTACCTCCTATTACACGAAAAGGCCTGTAAAAAATTGATGAAAATAACAATAAAGTTCTAGGCATTTTTTGACACAAAATAGTGAGTGAGCTATTATTTCAAGCATATTGATGGTCCCAAATGAAATATTGATGGACAAGAGCATGCAACACAATTACACAACATTTCCTTTGCACAGAGCATAGATTAACTTTGATACATGAAGTTTGTGAAAAAAATCAAATACGTATTTTGTAACTTGTAACATCCCGACCTTTTCTGACCAAGATATTTTGTTTGGGATAAACTCTCATAATTTTGATTATGGGGTGCATCATAGCGACTTCCTGGGAGGTCATCCATCTTTGCACAGCTCCACACTGAGCACGTTCAACTTTAGAGTCTCATAAGAACTCCTCCATTTCCCCAAAACGCTTCTTGTCAGGTAAGATCGGTTTCTAACTTATGAATCATGGATCTCTCCCATGCTTTGTCGATGTGTGGTTTCCTAAGGTATTACACACACCTCCTCGGGGAATCAACGTCCTTATTGAGGTTTACCCCCACCAATTCAAGAGGGAGGCGGAGAAGCTCTCATACCACTTGTAATATCCCGACCTTTTATGAAAAAATATTGTCTGCTTTGGGCCTACACTGACAAGGTTTTAATTTTGGGGTGCATTATGGTGACTTCTCGAGAGGTTATCCATCTTTTCAGTGCTCCATACTAAGCACGTTTAACTTTGGAGTCTTACAAGAACTCCTCGGTTTCGCCCAAAATGCGTTTTGTCAGTTAAGGCCGGTTTCTTACTTATGAATATGGATCGCTCTATACTTTGTTGATAATGAATTTTCCGAAAGTGTTGCATTTATTTTTGATCTTTTAGGGATCTCTCAATATCATATTGTAGCTCTAAATTTTATTTCCTTTATCTTGCAGTGGCCTTGAGTGAAATAATTTTGTGTTTTATGCCCTTCCTAAGCCAACCCATCATTTATGCTTTGGTATTAATGTTGTCTGCTTAATGAGATTCATCTATTGAGCTTATTAACTCTATGTTTTCGATAACTTGTCTGGTCTGGTTGGTATTAGAGGTAGCTAAGAGATTTTTTTCTTAATTTTCCTCTGTATGTTTCCAATCTTTTTGGGCTCATTCTTAGTAGCTTGATTTTGAAAGATCCCAATTTATTTATAATATTTTCATCCCCATACGGTTCACAGAACTGAGCAATAACTTCCTTGCACTTTTGCGACTCTTAGCCAAAAGGGTTCAACCTGAAAATACCACCTCCAAAGCTCTTCAGTTTATTCCCTTCCATTTGGTGAGTGTTTAGAATGACATTATTCAAAATGAAAATTTCGAGTTGTCATTCTAGTGAGTTATCTTTTCCCCCAGTGTTACACTCTATATTGTTGCTTATAATCAAGATGACTTCCGCCATATAGATATAGTTTCTTCTTTATTTGTTTGTTTTTATCATCTTTATGAACTTAACTCTTACGTTGTTGGGATGAGATAAACCATAGGATGTTATTTTCATTTATTGCATGCAACATATATATAGATATTGATGGTTGTTTTTCCTCTATATATATCCTTTGAATTAGGTGAAACTTAATATCAAGTATATTATATGACTAGTTGATAGGGGTTTTAATACATGAGAATATTGAGTTAACATTGAATTGGAAATTCCGATGATAAAGGAAGTAACATTAGATATGTATTGTGTTTGATTGATGCATGATAACTAGTTAGGGGGATTTAAGTTTGGACAATGCTTGTATCAATATGTGAATCTTTGTTGCTGTATGAGTGATTTGGTTCAATTTTCTTTCTTCAATTAGTTTAGTTAATTAAAACCCTTTCTTGAAATTGGTCAAATAATAGCAGACAATTTCGTATCAGTAGATAGTCTATCTGGGATAGACCTTAGTTGATATCTATCAAATGTAGAAGATAAATACACTTGCATGTATTTTTTTGCACTAGACAACGACCATTGCTCTACTTTCCAATTCATCACGTAGAACATTGTTTCAATATTTCCTCGATGAAATTTTCTTCTCGGTGTCCATTATCCCAATTATACGGATAATTCACATAGTCACAGTTCATCAAGCCACATAAATCCACATCACCATCAAAATGGATAACGAGATTTCCATGAATTTTCCGAACTCTTTGTCTTCAATTGAGATAACACTTGCAACCTATGTAGATTGATGTTAGCTTTGAAAAAATTACAAAGAGCCCAGGTCAGATGTCTTTCCGTACGGTCAAGTCTACCATAGGAACTCGTAAACCTCCAAAGATGACCAACAATTATACAATCCACCTCCACATCAAATTGACAAAGTGAACGAGAAATAATAGAGAGATTTCTCCTATCTCAAGAGAAGACATGTTATTCGTGAAATTTCTTTTGCTATGACATAACCCCATTCTTGAAACCTAATACTTTCTTAACAATCTCCCAACCTTGCTCAGAATGGCAAGAGTACATAAAAAAATGTGAGCATCTTATTTTCATACGAAGGCAAAGAAAAAGCTAAGTGGATCGACTCCACCTAGGCTATGGGAGCAAAAGAGCCCCTCGAAATAGAGGCATTTTAGTGTGCTTTATAGTATTGGTGCTATAAAACATTTACAGCCATTAGATCATGTTCAACCTTTATCAACCATTAGATTTTATTTAAATTATTAATATATTATTTTATTTGTTTGGGACAACCGGTTGCTTGAAATTATTTGGGTTCACACCTCTTCTCACGGCCGAAACCATTCTTCTCACCTCTTCTCACCGCCGAAACCATTCTTCCTTCTATCCTCTTCCTTCGATCCTCTCCACGCAGTTAGCGAGCAGTGAAGACGGCAACAGTGAAGGCGGCGAGCAGTGGGTGACGACGAGTGAAGACGGCGAGCAGTGGGTGACGACGAGTAGAAGAAGCTTGTCGATTGCAGCATCTCTTTGACTGCGGCGAGCCGGATTCCGACAACGACAGTGAAGGCGGCGAGCAAGGGACGACGAGAGCGAGCATCTCTTCGTCGATTGCAAACGATTGAGCTCGTCGAGAGCCTGCATCAAGGGGTAATTGCGACGGCGACGCTGTGAGAAGAAAGAGATTTGGGGTTTCAAGTTTCCTCTTCCGCGATTGTGGACTATGCTCTTCCGCGGTGGGTCTCTTTGACGATATTGAAGTGGTTGAGCATCGGGGGAACGGTGAGATTGGGTTTCGCGGCGGGTCTCTGCTGATTGTGCTCTTTCGCGGTGGGTCTCTTTGTCAATAGTGAAGGGGTTGATTAGCGGGTCACCGGAGGGAAGAATTGGAACAAGATTCAGAGCTGCTTGATTGAGGGTAAAGTCTGCTCCAAGTTCAACGAGACTTGCCTTTCCGATACCGTCGAGCAGTTCTACACCGAGCGATTGTCCGCTCTTCAGGTAAAAAAAGACGATTCACTTTCTGGGTTTTGAAAATTCGTTTGGTGGTTTTTGCTATATTTTCTGAACTTTTTGAGCGTGGCTTTTGGATTTCTGTGGTGGGTTAGGGATTTGATTGTTTTTAGTTGGGGAAAAGCGATGGGCAAACTATGGATTTTTTCCCTTGGGAACTTGTGAAATTGTTATTGTGCTGAATTTAGAGATCCTTGATGATATTGAGCAACAATTAGGATCAAATAGATATTGAAAACTTTGTAGACTCTGAA